GAGAGAGAGAGAGGGGCTCTTCTCTTATTTAGAAAAAGGCTCGAAAACAGCTATGTATATTAAAAAATAAACCTTTGGTATGTTGAGAGACGGCGTGTTGTTTTTCGAGGCTAGTTACAATCGGTATAACAAACTGTCAATTGTATGAACCCGAACAGTCTCTTTACTTAAAACTTGAACTCGATGCAATTATATATCATACACATAGTGAACATATACGCGACTCATGTGGCATGACAAGAGACTCTAGCTTAGCTATACACCCCTTTGGACCTCCTGGACGGTAACATGCTGTGTGACTAATTCGACAACTCTTCTGGTGATCGGCAAATTCATCCAAGCAGGAATATAGGCTTCAATTTTACCGAATTTTCGGGTCTCTATCAGGTTGAAAGGATCTTCGAATGGCCCGCTTTCAACCGTGAGGAAAATGTCGCTGCTGTGGGTCTGAGATTTGCCGTCCGAGGATAGTGAAGATTCGCTCTTGACTCTGTTGGCAACAAAATTTAAAATCTCTTGTGGGATGGGCACTTCATAATCAGCAACCGCATACTGGGTAATCAGCTTCTGGATCTGTGCAGGTTTCAACGACGAGCAAATTTCCCAAATAATATCAATGTCCTCCAAATTGGCTTTCTTCAATTGTAAGAGCTTCGATGCCTGTAGCATGTGTTGCAAGCAGTCTGTGCCTTCCGGAATGTGGTGAGATTTACACCATTCCTCTAGCCTGGTCACATTGTAGTTAAGTTGTAAACCTCTCTTCCAGGATAAAAAGTTGCGTCTCATGATAAGATCGTTGAAACAAATGGCATCAACGTATTTCAACAAAGTGATGATGACCTCACGGAAAACCTCCTGTTCAACATGATACGTTCTCATCGACCAATAAATATTGTTGAAAAACGCTAAAATACCATCCATTTTGTAATAGTTGGACTGCGTGAATAGCTTGCCCAGAAACTGTGTCGATTCGTTGGCGATAAACCCAGGAAGAGACTGCGACATCACCACCGCGGACACTGCCTTCTTTTCCAAGTCTTTTTGAAGTTTCTTCAACCAGATGTTGTATATGTTGTAACTCAAAGACTCGAAGTCGTCCTTCAACTCGGTGACCAGAGTCACGTATTCCTTATACTCATCTTCGTTCAAGCCACTGTTGTAAGTATCATCATTCAAAATACTCTCTTGCGCAAAAACGACAAAAGAGTATAATTCGCGCACATTCGTCAGCCAAAAGGCTCCATGACTTACCAAGTCATCACCTTTCAAAGCGGTGACAAGTTTTTGAATGGTAGACATCGCATCAGCAAGAAAACTTTCACTCTGCTTTGTTAAACCTAACCTCCACATGTCACTTAAGATGATAATCATGATTCTTGCAGGGTAAAGCACCTCCTTTCTGGTCAATTCAGCGGCTACACCTGTCTCTGGAATCTTGAAGCCCTTGAGAAGGCCATCGACAATCTCTGTGTTCAGGGCCTTAGTGTCCTCGAGAATCTTGTACAGCTCGTCATTTATTTGAGACAATGCACTTGCAGTTGACCTTGCATCGTCTTCCATGCCGCTATTCATGGAAATTACGTTCAGCTGCCTTGGTGAGGTTCCATCTGTTACGCTGCTGTGACTACTGAACCTTCTCGCTTTGGTAGGCGTGTTTACCATTGTGCCGTTTGTGCTGACTCCACTGCGAATGCTGCTATGCAGGCGGCTGATTTCATCCTTAAGTGATTTCACCTCGTTTTTCAAATCCGAGTTCTGAGTTTGCGAGTCCGCAAATTCAGTTTTAGCTTGATTTAGGGATTCAACTGCCGAGCGAACTTCTTTCTTGATCTCTTCATGCTTTACCAAAAGCTCGTCAATTTCCTTTTTGGCAGCAGCAACTTCTTCTTGAGCTGCACGCAACTCTTCTGCCTTACTTGAAAGCTCATTGCGATGTGTATCTTGCTGCTCCTTTAGGTTCCTAGAATGCTCTTCTTTCTGTGTGTCCAGAACACTTTGAATATTGGCAGATTCATTCAAAGATGTTTGAAGTTCAAGAATACGGGCAGTAAGCTCTCTATTCTCCTTGATTTTTTCTGCCAGATTGTCCGTGAGCTGGATCACTTTGTTTTCGAGCTTATAACTCACTTCCTGTAAATGATTGACAGACTTTGCATCAGATTTCAGTTGCTTCAATGTTCTTTGAGCCAGTGTTCTTCTAACCAGGGACTGAATGCGAATGGAAGACCCTCTTGTGGTGTTGTAACTTTGACGTGGATTAAATCCCCGAATCTTGCTTTGAATAGTAACAGCTGCAGTTGCTTGTTGTTTCTCGGAAAGGGCCCTTTGTGCGATCCGCTTTCTTGCCAGGGACTGAACCTTTACGATGGATGCCAACGCAGTCGTAGCGGCGCGACGTTGAGAACGTCCTCTAAAAAACGCCTGCAAGAAGCACGCCGCCATACTTTTCAATTTGAAGTCCACACTTAGACGACACGCATGTCCACTGCTGTAGGCTTGTAGCATATGAAGAGCATTTGTGATCTCCAAATATTTTTTCCGGTAGTACAAAGCTTTGATCTTTTTCTGTATGAGGACACAGGCGTTGTGCATTTTAGTACTTCTTAGTTTTTCCAAATATGCCAGCATACCTGCTTTGAAAAAAATCTTGGTGTTACCAAGCTGGTACTTGTCTTTCTCTTTGACGGTTTCATTCAAGATATCTTTGCACAAATTTCTGACGTCTTCCTCCGAGGCTTCCAAAGTGAAAATCTTAGTCCAGTTGTCTGATGGTATCAAAATATGATATCTTACAACAAATTCATTGTAAGTCCATCTGGAGGGAAACCCTGCACACGAGATACGGATAGTTTCCAGTACACCACAAGCACGAAGTTGTGACAAAACCATTAGATTGTCGAACTTCCATGCCTCTTTATTCTCATTTGGTTTGATGCAACGAATATAATGGACATTTGTGGAGTCGATTGTACTCATTAATTCAATCAAGGATTGTTTGAACATAAAACCAAGCGTTGGTTTTTTGTTGACCATTCTTGCAGGCCCTGGTTTCTTGTTGGCTTCCTGCTTTTCTGCTAGAGCAGCAGCGTTTTTGTCGATGATGTCCAAAATAGACCGCAGTGTATCGTTCTGTGTAGCCTTCAAGACTTCCAAGTGACCATCCGAAACCGTATCCCTATTCTTTTCTATGAAACCGTCAACATCGTACGCTACATCTAAAGCGTAATGCGAGACAACAAATTTGGTTTGTCCAAATCTTGGTTTTGAAAAAACGGCGTTTGTAGGAGGCTTATCTAGGGCCTGGTAGAGTTTTTGGGTCCAGCTTTCATCAGATCCTGCAGGCAGCCTGGATTCTTCATCAAGTAGGGACAAAATACCAAGCTTGTTTTCGATAAGGTCGATGCACGGTTGATTGTCATTGAACTCGATGAAAGACCACTCTATTTGCTCGGCAACGTATTCTTCCTGCTCGAGTTTAAAAACATGCTGGTTGAATTCTTGCTGCAGTTTCTCATTTGCATAATTTATGCAGAACTGCTCAAAAGAGTTCTTTTTGAAATGCTCAAACCCGTAGATATCCAGAACACCTATGAAAGAGCTGATATGCTTGGAAACTTCGGGATTGCAAAGCACGGTGTTGATATTCTCTACTAGCCAGTCGAAAAGTGCTGTAAAGATAAATTTGGCTACCGAGTCCCGAGCCACAATTGCCTGACTGAAGGTTAAGTTGGAAACAATTTTCTCGGCTCTAGTTGTAATTTGTTTCTTTGTGATCCATTTGGCAAAGTCGGAGGCATTAATACCCAAAAGGTCACACGCAATGAGCAGATTGGGCTCGTCAGAGCTTAGGGAAGCATCATTTCTGGTTTTCTTGACTTCGATATTACCGATATGCAACAAAGCGGCTAGAATTTTGAACAGCTGTTGTTGAGTATCTGCGGAAAACCCAACCAGCCTCAAGGCGTCCGCGGTTTCCTTGTAATCGGCAGCGTCGTCCACGCCTTTGATGCGATAATCGCCACCCTGGTTAAGATAATGATAGTCCTCCACCTTAGTCAATTTCAGCTCTGATTTTTCGCTTTCTGAAAGACCCGCCATCAATTGATAGAAGATGTGGTAATTTCTCTCGACACTAGGTTGAAATACCAGTCTAGAACGTTCTAAAAGGTATGTTCTAATCCTGGCACCGATGATGGAAGTCTCCGAGTTGAACAGGATTTCGAGATACTTTCCGAATCTCGAGGAATTGTCATTCCGCGTGGTCTTTGCGTTACCAAACGCTTCCATGATAGGGTTAGTGGCCAGGATTCGACGCTCTGTTTCGGACATTTCATGACGATGGTCATTGTGGTCTGGAATGGCCGCTGAGTCTCTTTTGGCCGCCTGCTCGACCGAAGCAAAGTAGCGCATGATGTATTTGGCCGAAACGGTTTTCCCGGCACCGGATTCACCGCTCACCACGATCGTTTGGTTTTGTTTGTCGTTTTTCATCAGTCTGTAGGCCTCTTCTGCAATGGCAAAAAGATGCGGTTCCAATTCGCCACGACGTCTTCCGGCGTAAGCTTGAATCATATCCTGAGAGTACAGCTGTTCCACACGATCGAACGGATTCGTGGCGATCAGCACGATACCCGAATACGTGTATATGTTCAATTGACCATAGCGGGTCTTGATAGCATGCAGTACGGCAGGCTCGTTCAAATATGACAGCGAGGTCAAATCCTCGATAGCCTCTAGAATTGGAGGATTTCTCAGCAGCGGCAGTGCGTTTTTATTACCGGCATTACCGTTGGCTCCACTGTTGTTGTGATCTTCGCTCAAAGACGATGTTTCGATCTCAACCGTTTCGCCATTTTCAAGTGCCAGTGACAAACTGTACTTGTTTTCCTCTAACGTCGAGAGTTTCGACACCTCGGCACCGATCCATCCCTCTTCTTTATCTGGATACCAGCATCTGGTCCCTACCTCATACGACATATGTGCAGAATGTGGTGGTCTTGTATCGTTCGATCTTTAAAAAATGGTGTCGATGTTTGAAGTTGCCAGCTTTGCAAAAGTTGGAATATTTCAGCTCTGAAAACTGCTACAATGACCTGGAAAATTCGCCAAATGCTTCCACAAGTCCTTTCTGACACCAATCAAGCTTTTGTTGCAGTTTCAAGAACCTGTATCGCTCACAATTGAGGATTTTCGGTGAAGATTGTGTGTTCTTCGAGTGTTATAAGTTGGTTTGATCTAGATATTATTTTTTTGTGTGGTCGAAATTACATGGGTTATAGTTTTTCCACCGTACAAAAAACGCCAAAATTTAATTTTGGCGTTTTGATTAGCGGTTTGCGGGGAGAACGGGGTAAAGTGGAAGAGTGGTTGAGTTCGGGGAAAAGGTTGTATTGAAAACTCTCGTTAAAGGGTTGTACAAGTTTGTTCGATGGAAACGCCAAATGCTGGAGATTCCGAATTGAATGGTCATGGTCACGTGACACTCCATTTACGTTTCCCAAGACTAAAAATTTAGTTGATTTGGTGCATTAGATGTGGCTGAATAGAACGACTAACATACGTAGAGACCAAGGTACATGCAGCAAACTTATCTATGAGGCTCTGTGATTCGAAATTTTTGAGAAACAAATATGGGCACGTGACGCCAACGGCGACACAAACGTACAAAATGATGGTTGGGTTTTTCCTAACAGTCAACAACTGAAAGGTAAAGACTGTGGATTCCCGCGTGCAACGAGGCTGTTTGTTTGGAATGGATTACGAGCAAACCTCATTGGGGCAAGCCCATTGGGACAAGCTCATCTGTATCTTGAGGTGAATTTCGGGCCACTCAAAAACGTGTGAATTATGAAAATGTCAGAGACTTCGATATAGCCCGCCCACACCCTCCCGGCTATTGGCTGCTCTTCCTCTTCTCACTAAAAGTTCCAAATTTGAGAGTCGCATGGATGATTTGAGTATTGTTTTCAGAAAATGCCCTTTTTTCCAGAAATGTTACCTCATCTATCCTAATTGAATGATTTCCCAGGCATCATTCTTCTTCAACACCATACGCCCGATCTGCACCCGCGTACTTTTCTCCTCACCAACACTCGTCTCTATCCTCACGCAACTTCTCTCCGCATCTTCGCTCAAAAACTCTCTCACTGCCAATGTGTGTCATTTCCAATTGTCGCACCAATCTTCGTCTGATAGCCGCGCCAAGCATCAAATAAAAACCGCCATATTTTTCTCCATCCATTTTGCCATTCAAGAGCCTCAAAACGTTCTTTTCTCTGTTCGAGCACCATTCTCACACCTAATCACCTTGTTGACGTAAATTTACTTCAAGCTCATCACACTTAGAATGAAAAATCACCAAAAGTCTCAAAAATTTTCCCGGACCAGTTCAAAACTCGTCATACTCATTCATCCTGTCGAATCTGGCGACGCTACTCTCATCTCATCCATTTAGAGTCCGTTTTTGACGCTTTCCATTGTTGCAGTAGGTTTCTATATATTACATGCCAAATACCTTTAAAATAAAGCTTGATCGAGATAAAACCCATTCAAAAGATCGATTGTAAGCTTCATTAGAGCTTTTCAAATGCACGCCCCGACTTCTTCGTATGGCCACGACCTTCGCAGAGCAAGACATTCGTCTTTCAACGGCGGAATACCGCTTCACGCCTTCCATCGAGGTCGAGATGTTGAAAGACAAGCCACAGCCAAAGATGACTGCACATCTGCATCCATGGGGAAATTTAGCGATTGTTTGTTCCAAAGTGGTGAAAACTCATCAATTTCAAGGCCCCTGTCTTCCAAGAGCGATCTGTCATTACACACCGAAGTAAACTCTGTCTACGGTTCGTCATCATCACTTCCGGCTTTCACGAAAACCGCATCGTTTCTTCGACGAAACTCACAGTCTGCAAATGTCAGGTCTGCCAATGGCAGACCTGAAAAGGAGAGTGGCAAACGATTGGTATATCAGTTTTTGAATTTGGAAGATGGTAGCGCTGAAAAACCAGAGACTCAAGTTTCCCACACATCACGACCTTCCATGTCGTCTTCGGCTTCCCAGGAACACGAGTCGTTATCGCATTATCTCCTGTGTGATCTGAAAGATGCAACTGCGTTACACGATGGCGGTTTCCGGGACTTAACTTGCTCTGGTTCCAAAACTACCTGCACTCAAAGCATTACTTTGGCCGACGAACTCACCAAATTCGACAAAAACCTCCGCAGTACCTTAGCGGACCTGATGAGCAAAGACCAAGCGATGAACGAGGCCTCAAAAGATCTGGATACGTTGCAGGTGGAAATACACAGGATCCAACAGGACATTCAGGATGTTCAGATTCAGGTGGCTGGACACGACGTTAAGGTCCAATCTGCTTTCCAAACTCAAGATGCAAATTCATTCATTTCCAAACTCACCGCAGATATATCTTCCTACAGTGAGCAGCTTACTGCGTTCGAGAGACACATCGGTAAATGCAAGACTGAACTAATGGAGCATAAGGCCACCGTGCATAAGTTCGAGACCACTATTAAGCTCAACGAGATGCTACGAGACTCACAAAATAGCATGTGTGTGTCAGACCGACTACGTGAATACAAAGGCATTATCACCGACCTTTTGGCTTTAATTATGGTTATCGTGGTGTCAGTGATGCTCAAAAGGTTCTTGACGCACAAATGACCTACAAAAAGACCGAAAAAAATTCCTCAATTGAGGAAGCTACAATTATTGTCCTTTACAAAACATTGCTGGTCCAAAATTGCCACTGCTGCCCATCGAATCTTGTCGCGTCAGTGCCAGCTTTCGAGCTTGGGCTGGTGTCGCTATACACGAAGGACATCAACTATGCTCATCTCATCTCAACCTTGCTTTACAGACCTCGACGGCAAGAAATCGCACGATAAAAGCTCGAAAGACAGGTTTTATAAGGGTCCACCCTTGAAACACTACACAATTGATTGAAAAATGGCACCATGGTATGTGCTATCTTCTTTTTTCCTTTACAGACGCATTAATGCTGGCTCTTCTTTTGACTAACAAATTTACCAAATAGCCTTTTTATGGCTCAAGTGGCTCCTGGAACAGTTCTGCCGGTCAGAATCTTCATTAACCGCAAACAGTTTGCGAAAAACGTTCAGGATTGTATGTGTTGAAACCTGTTTCCAAATATGTTGAATTGTAATCCGAAGAACTTGAACTAACATGATTTATCCATTACAGCGCGGACTTCATTTGAGACTCCCATTTTGTCGAATAACTCGATTATTCGACTAAAATCACCACTTGTGAGACTTTACCTATCGAACATTGATGCCAGAAACCTGTGCGGGGAGATAAAAGACGAACTGCTGTTAATTCTGTACGAGTTGGCAGCTCAGGAAATTCTCGACAGCATAATGGGAAAGTTAAAGATTGACAACCTCGTGGAATTCAAAGACATCATCGACAAGTTTCCGTCGTTCAAGTCGGCTTTCCATTCGGATGCAGCTAGTTGTGGTCTTGTCACCCTCGAAAGAATATCCCGCTTTCAATATAAGATGCGTTATGAGAAAAACTGGACCCTTGACATCTTCGTCAACGACATAAGAAAACTGACACGGATCCGAGAGACGCTTTTGGCTCGGCTTTTGCCAGGAAGCGCGGTTCAGAGCTTTGGTGATTCCCGTTCGATGAAAATTCTCAGACGAACACGACACCAAGTCCCCACACCACCTCAAGTTTCCTCAACGGAAACAACAACAACAACAGCACAAGACCCTCTCATTTTACAGGAAAGTGATGACGATGGCGTGGGCATACCAGAAGATACGCTTGAAGTCGTGTCACCAGAAACCATTCAAGAAGAGAAAAAACCACAATTTGTCTACAGGCATTCCCCATTGCTGAATCTCGGCAATTGCATCGATATACACGTTCTGAAGAGGCCCAAGCGAGTTCACAAGACAAGATGACCGCCTGTAGTCTTCTTGATGGTGAGTTTCTTTCCGGTTTTCTTCCCGTTCCTCTAATCGGTTTTCTAGTCGCCTGAGATTTTTCACCAAATTAACATCTACATCTGTTGTCGTCAAATGAGTCAAATGTGAACTTTCATCTTCTTAACTTGGTCTCCACCAAGTCTCTTCAAACCTTTTCTCCCTCATTCAATCAGTTGACCTTACCCATCTCAACCATGAGCAGCAGTGCTGAAAATATCGCCCGAAACGCCCGTCTCGGTGGTAATGTTTTGAAGACAATTTCCAATGAGAACCGTTCTTCGCTTCTGCACAAGATTCATGATGGATTGAAAGCAAATGCAGCTTCTATAAAGAACGCAAACCAGTTGGATCTGCAAAATGCTCTGGAAAACAAGCTCGCAGACTCGCTTTACAAAAGATTAGACCTTTTCAAAGGTGATAAGTTCGACACAATGCTGGTGGGCATCAAGGATGTGGCAGCGCTCGAAGATCCAGTTGGAAAAGTCAAACTAGCACGAGAATTAGATGAGGACTTGAATCTTTACCAGGTCACAGCTCCCGTGGGTGTGCTTTTGGTGATTTTCGAATCAAGGCCAGAAGTTATTGCCAATATCACTTCTCTGGCTATTAAATCCGGTAATGCAGCCATTTTGAAAGGTGGCAAAGAATCCGTCAACACGTTTAGAGAGATTTCACGCATCATCAATACGGTTATTTCGGAGAATGAACGGATCTCTGGTATTCCTTCTAGCGTCATTCAATTAATTGAGACTCGTCAAGACGTTTCAGACCTTTTGCAACAAGATCTTTACATTGACCTTGTTGTCCCCCGTGGCTCCAATGCGCTTGTAAGACAGATCAAATCGAGTACCAAAATTCCTGTTTTGGGCCACGCCGATGGTATTTGCTCGATCTTCCTGGATCAGAACGCTGATCTGGAAAAAGCTAAACGGATCACCATAGATGCCAAGACTTCCTATCCAGCTGGATGCAATGCGATGGAATCCTTGCTAATAGATCCCAAGATGCCCAATTGGTGGCTGGTCCTTCAAAATTTAGCTGAAGCCGGAAACGTGAAGCTACACGTCACGTCCGATGTAAAAGCTGCTTACTTCTCTAAGCTTCAAGAAATCGGCAATTTGAATGAGCAATTGCAAAACTCTGTTGTCGACGCCGATGAGTCTATTGATTTTGACAAAGAGTTTCTGTCACTTGACTGCGCGGTGAAATTTGTAGAGTCGACTGAAGCGGCTGTTACGCACATCAATCTGCACTCTTCCAAGCATACCGATGCCATCATCACAGAGGATCAACCAAGCGCTGAAAAATTCATGAAGGGTGTTGATTCTTCAGGCGTGTACTGGAATGCTTCAACGAGATTTGCTGATGGTTTCAGATACGGTTTCGGTACTGAAGTCGGTATTTCAACAAGCAAAATCCACGCACGCGGGCCAGTAGGCTTGGATGGTCTTGTGAGCTACCAATACCAGCTGAGAGGCAATGGGCAAGTTGCCAGCGACTACGTTGGATCTGGTGGCAGCAGAGCATTTGTTCACAAGAATCTGGATATTACCAAGGTACAACTATAAGCTTGAGTCCAAGACATTGTCACAATGATATATTTTACAGAATTACGAATAAAATGATTTTTTTCTCACAACTTCCCAAGAAGTTTTTGTTCATGGCCTCTAGTCATGGAATGGATTTGCTGAAGCATCTTGCAGCTCCCCATGGACACCTCTCTTCAACGTCGTGTCATACATCCTTATGACCTTATCTTGCCCACCAAATTCAGTCTGAGAAAATGCAAATCCACGCTGCTTCTTCATTCTCTGCACTTGCCTTACTCTTCGTATGGCTTTCTGGAATTGCTCAATGCGAGGTCTGTAGTCTCCAATGTTGTATTTTTGCATTTCCTGGACGACGTGGTAGCTTTCTGGGGTATAAGTCCGTTTGTAGTATTTCCAGACAAAATCTCTCAGAAGGGCAAAGAAGGGCAGCACGATGCACATCAGCCAGAAGGTTCCCGATCCGTAAACGTGGGGCACAATGCCATAGTATTCTCGTGAAACGTTTGCGTGTGGAAATATGCTAGCGTAGATCGGAAAGAACACCAACCAAAAGGCCAAGGAACCTGGAATAGCAAATGCTGTGAACTTTGTCCACTGGTTGGTAACAAGAGCGGCTTTTCCGATGACAATGATGATGCTACACGTGTAAATAGCAACGCCCCATGTCCAATGATCTGCAGTTTCTCCATGAGACTTCAAAACGTTACCAGGTCCATAGATTAGGTACGATCCCAAGAATGTTACCGCCGAGTGATAGAAACCATTTGCAACCCAGCCCCAAAAGATTGTAACCGAGAAAAACTGACCTCTTTGTCCCAGTTTGTACAATTGAGGATAGCGGTCCAAAAGACGGCTACTAACAAATTGGTCAAAGACCCCCATCACAAAAGGCGGCAGTACTGTGAAAAATACATTGTAGAATGTCATTGTCCAGGACTCCATGATTGACTGTCCGGAGTACGCGTTGGCAAACACATACCAAAATTGAGTCATGTATAGCGCAATATTCTTGTAAAATGAATAAAGAATGGCTTGCGATATTCTTTGATAGGACCAAGATCCATGGACTAGAAGAAGCTTTTTCACAAATTTGAACTGCCCAATTGCAAAATCCGCAGATCGGGCAGCTTGCATACCCTCCATTCCACTGATACCGACCCCTATGTGAGCCGCTTGGATCATACTGACATCATTCGCACCGTCACCTATCGCTAGCAAAAGTGACTCTGTTCTACGCTTCACCATTTTCACCACGAGTGCTTTTTGCAATGGAGAAACCCGACAGCAGATGACTGCTTTACAGATCTTTCCTACAGCGAGCAGGTATTCTTCAAGGTCACTTTCTAAAGCAAAGCCTAAAGACTTACCGTCAATAACCAATGCCAGGCTGTTTATTTCCTGTTGAGAAATCTGATGATCTCCTATGGCCCTCAGTTTTTCCAAGAGGTTCTTTCTGGTTGCCTCTTTGGTTTCCTCGTTGACGATCAAAAGATTCATATCTTCGCTCAGCAACCGACAGCTCATCCCAATATTGATGGCTGTTTCCTGTCTATCACCCGTCAAAACCCAAATTTTAATGCCTGCATCCTGCAAAGTGTGTATAGTCTCAGGAACTCCATCTTGGAGTTTGTCTTCAATCGCAGTTGCCCCAATGAGGAACAAGTCCTTTTCGATCAATTCAGCTGTCTGGTCCATCTTAGCGGCTCTATCGTCTAGTGTTGTCGATGCCTCGTTATACAAGGCTTTCCATTCGGCATATTCCGACTCAGGTATGGTTCGCATTGCAAGACATAATGTACGCAGACCTTGTGCCGCGTAGTCTTCCAAATGGCGAACCGTAGCCTCCACATAGGGATTATTATTTGCTCGCAGCCGTTCCAAGATTACTGTGTCTGCTCCTTTACAGAATAATTTGATCTGGCCGTCGGGCATTCTGAATATACCGCTCATGCGTTTTCTGGTGGAGTTAAACTCACAGATGTCGAGCAGTTCGTAAACCTGTTCAATTCCGCTATTTTCAATCACAATGGTAACGCTGTTTGGCTTACGAATAATGAATTTATACCCAAGCATGGCAGCTCCCTCAACCAAAGCGCCCTCATCAGGAGATGCGGCCTGATATTTGATGGATCCGTTTTCTTGAAATTCAGGTATAACCGTGTGACAAGTCGCAAGCAAAGTTAAAAAGTCATTAAGGACTTGAGACTCAGGATCACTCGCATCTTCTAATCTCGCCGTCATATCTTCGAACTTTCTAAAGCCCACCTCTATACCGTCTTCCATTCTTGCGCTACCTTCTTCCGGAATGGTCTCAATGTAACACTTTCCAGCAATAGAGCAGGACTTGAACTCCATGACGTTTCTAGTAAGAGTGCCGGTTTTGTCACTGAAAATATATTCGATCTGACCAAGCTCTTCTACCAATGAAGAGGTGCGCACAACGGTAGGTGTATCTGTCTTTTCGTCGTAAAGATCAAGATCGGAACTGATCATATAGGCCTGGTAGTACTTGATCATCTCAACAGTGACAAACAAGGAAATGGGAACCAGATTCGAAAACAAAATCCAGTAAGTGAGAATATCTTTGAAGAAAAGACCAACCTTATTGGTACCCTCCAGATATAAATAGGTCAAGTGTTTGGCATCGCTGGTGACTTTTATAACATTCCCGATCGAGGAGATTAACGCCAAGACAATCAAGACCCCAAACAATGCGAGAATTTGCATATTGATCACTCGTTCAACAGCAGTTCGTTTGATTGGAGTGGCTGTTGCATTGCGCATAAGCTTAGTTTCATGTCCTGTGAAAACGACCAATCCGTAAACCCAAGCTGTATTTCTCAATGTAGCCCCTCTTAGAATCAATTGTTCTGGAGTTAGAGGAATGTCTTTACCCTTCAGGGTTAGTGTTCCTTCATAAGTGTACAAACTGGAATTTGGCTGCTCAGAAACGACCTTACCAGTGAGTGCACCAAGTTGGGAAGCTTCAATGTTCTTAGAGGTTTCAACACGAGCCTGCTTTATTTTAAGGTTTGTTTCGCCGTCAAGGTTAGCCGTTTCGATGTAACACAAACCCTCGGGCTCCGAAGAAGATATCAGAATAATATCTGCAGGTATGGCCTCTTCAGAATTTACTCTAATGATGTCACCAACGGAAATGTTTACCCACTTGTTCGGACTAAAATCGTGAAGCTGCTCGGAGAACACTTGGGCTCTAGAGTCGTTCAGCTCCCTATCTGAAGCTGCACGCTTCAAATCTTCGACGCTTTCCTTCACTGCTGACACGATCAGGACGATCAACAAAGTACCGATGGTGGTGTATCGATTTGTTGGCGTCACATTTGGGACTTGCTGTATTGCTGAGGTGAACAGGAAAAAAAGATTGGCGTACTTGGAGAACTCTTGAAACAAAAATTTGGGTAAAAAGGTTGCCATGTTGTACTTTGTGGTGGATATGTGGTTGTCGTTGAAACCCTGTGCTGCATTGGCTTCGCGATTATTGAGATATATTATTCTTGGAGCGCCTGCATCGGCACCTTGGGTTGGCCGCCTGAGAATGTACCGGTTGAAAAGAACCTTGATGTCGTATTTGTTTCTCGACCTTGCGTATCTATCTTCATGGCCTAGGTCGTCGTAGCTGTGCATTTCAAAGCCCTGATACTCGCTGGATCCTTTGTTACCGAAGCTGAGACCATTTTTTAGCCTACGAAACGCCCTTCCGAAGCGAGAGCTTCCTCCTTGCGCTGCTAAACTCACGCTGTGTTGCTGGTTCCCAAGCGATTGACCGTACGGTTCATCTACAAATGGGTTTTCCACTTCGTCGTTTTCTATGTTGTCGCCGTGTCTCAACTCTGTAGACCCCCGGCCTAAGTTGACTGTTTCTTGCGGTACAATGCCTTGCCGTAGATCGTTCAACAGGTCAAAATCTGAGTCTACAACTTGGGATTCGAATGGATTGGTGTTGTTAGCGTTCGAACCATGTTCATCAAAACCGGGCGAAAAATCGTCGTTCAAAAAGTCAATGTCGAATAAAGTGTCCTCATTGGACCTTCGTCCGGTCTTCTTCATGGCAAATCAATGGCTTGAGGCGCTGGAAGTGGAGCCTGAACTTTGACAAAGTCGGAAACAATGTGGAGAAGAACGTTGAAATTCTGTATACCCGGAATATTTGATTAATTCCACAGCTTTAATTCGAGATCACGCTAAAATCATGTGACCACAATTATTACATAATCATAACTCTAGCCATGTGATAAGCACATGCTTTTCAATTATTAAACCATTACATAAGCAGACTTTTCACATCAGATGATTAACACGTGGTTTTGTCTGCTCTAACGCTTATAATATTATTATGATGCTACTGAGTAGTGTATATACTGAATAAGATAGAGCCTGGTACTTGAAGTACCCGTAGTGTACAGGATGGCAGGTAGAGAAGGGATCATTGGCTTTCTCGAGTGACCTGGGTGAAAATGAGAAATGGCAAATGAACATGCTAGCGGGCCAACTCTTGTTGGGCCGGTTGAGTCTCTTCCTCGTACTCGATCTCGACTCTGGGGCGCTTCTTTCTGGCAGCGGCGGCGGCCAGCTTTCTGCGTTTCTGGTTCTTTGTGTCTTCGTCGTCGTCTTCGTCGCCGCTGCTGCTGCTACTGTCGTCGAGGTCTTCGTCCGAGCTATCGTCGTTTTGAGAAGCGTTTGGATCGTCCAGCCATCTTTCAAGATCCTCCACGTCCACAAGTTCTTCGTCGTCTCCGTCGTCCTCAACGTATTCAATCTCCGCGTCACTTTCCTCCTCCTCTTCGTCCTCGTATTCGTTTTCAAGATCGTCTTGATCGTCCTCTACGTGACCCAGCACTTTTTTCCAGATCTTCTCGTCCACATTCAACGGTTTGTCGCCGTATGCACCGCTCTTGAGTCTCTCCAAAAGCTCCTTTTCAATTGCCTTTTCGATCTTGGCCGCTCCAAGCGCCTTGCGCTCACGGTTCTCCTCTCTTCTCTTGACCTTGGGCGCAACGCCCACGTAGTGTCTTTCCTCTTCTCTCAGCTCCATGCGTCTTTCTGTGACTGCCACCTGTGTTAGACGAGTAAGTCTCTGCTTGCACTTGTGTATTAAAAACTTGTTCCAGTACAACAGATGCTCGTCCACTTGCCCTAGGGCCTTTGCATAGTTTTTGGACAGCCTTATTCTTTCCCACATCTTGGCCGGCGTGTGGGCCCGTTCTGCCGTTTTCATGTACAAGTAGAGTCTGCCACCGATGTTCTTCACCGTGGCATATCTTGCGTTTGCCAGAGGGCACGATTGTCGCGTACACAACCCAGTGACATTGTATTCGTTTCTGCAAAAGTTCTGACCTTTGTCGGTTTTCAGCTTATAAGCACAGAAATGTTGGTTTATAACCTGCCAAATGATTTCGTCCGACATTTCAGGTGCTTGGTTGAGCTATGAAACCCTTCTTTGACTTCGATCAAACAAGTTCTTAGCTTACTTGTGTATTGGCGACTGATGCTCTTGAAGCTCATCTCATCGCATCGCTTTCTGAAATTTATCAAAAATTTTTCAGCTCTTTCAACGAAATTAAAATGAGAGAATGATAAGCTGACGTAAGCTGATCTGGAAAGATGGTATGACGTAAGCGGCGTTAAAACTTGGAAAGCTGGACGACACGAAAGTTTCTACAATTGTGATATCCTTTTGAATGTGCGTACCAATTGGTCTGTTAACGCAAGTAAAAGAATGGCTTGTATGCCTTTTTATTCCCCGTCGCTTACGGAAAAAAATCAATTTCAACCTTCAATTTCGGTAGCGTCCAAGCGTGGAGACGCTAAAGTGTCCTTCAACTGCGTAATCTCAGCCTGCGAAAGACAGCTTATGTACACGCATTTGCTCAAGAGCTCGTCATTTGTTTGGATATCGTAGAATTTGGACCATTGTGCTCTCTGAATAAAATTCTTCACAATCTGGACATTAGTCTGAAATTTGCTGTAGTTTAGGACTTCATTGGCGACAATCCAATTATTCTTTTCCGAGTTGAGAGTGAGATCCGACAAATACACCACAATGAAAGGTATACAGCCCTTCAACGGATCAATATCATTAAGTAGTCCACGGACGTTCTGATAGTTCTTTTCCAAGGATGGAATGTTTTTCAGAGTTTCCCATATGAGCACATCACCAGGTTCAATTAGCCTCCAGGCATCTCTGAAGCTCTGCACCACCAATGAACTCAATCCAAGGACTATTTCCATCAATGTGTTGTAGTTTTGGTAGCTTCTGCAATGGTCCGCTACGTGTATGAAGCGCTGAATGGTGTTTCTTCTAAGCTTGTTGTCGGTAGTCAGCACAATTTCCGAGATGACCCAATCAACTGTAAGATTGAAGCGCGCGATCGCCAGATCGATACCAGAAAGATTGACATTTTGCAGCAAAAGCTGCAGCCAGCTCGTAACGGATGAAAAGTTTCGACTGACTTTGAGATCCAAAAGCTCTTTCCAGTCTATTTCGCTCAAAATTTCTCTTTCCACCAATGTCAGTTGTTCCGCAATTGACTTTGAGTCATACATCAAAATGAAGGGGACATGCTGTGCCGCATTAGTGACATCCAGCCTACTGTCCTGTAATGTATAACTGCTCAAAAGTTCTCGAATCTGGCTTTCAGTGGCTTTCTGATTGGTATTGCCATTTTGGCTCTTGGAATGAGGTGTCATTGGTATTTCACTTTTCACCTGCCGTCTTCTCTCTATCAAGAAAGAGTTCCTGTCATTGGCTCTGAGCACAGACAGTCGCCTCTGTGTCAATTCTTCCGCGCTCGTCTCTTGGTTTTCGTTTTTAGACTGATTTGAGGCAAAAGTACCTTCTAGCTTCATGAGGGCAACGTTGACAGGATCACCATGTAGTGATTCGTCTGTTAAATTTGCCAGATTATTCAATCTGCTGTCTTCAGCCTTGTAAGGTGAGACTATAGGTGTGACCGTGCGCCGATGGTGCTCATTTTGATGCTTTTCTCTGTAAATATCATCCAACTCTTGCTCCTCGTTTGGCTCGCCGTCCTCCTTTCCTTCGATCATCGAAATTATACCGTCGTTCATCGACTGGGAGTCATTGCCTGCCGGGCTTATGAACTTAATCTTCAAGTCGTCAACATTCTTTTCAGGTGATGCATCGTCAATGCTGCCATTATCGGGTGAGAAAAGATACTTGTTGCCCGGTTTGTCGTCACTATCCGCAATTGTCAAAGACTCTTTAACAGCCCCGTTCAAGGAGTAATCAATGAAAGAGGCACCTGTTCCCGAGACATGCTCAACCTTGCTACTCGTCGAGAGTTGACTGAAAGTGTCCACGGTATGGAAAGTGGAGAAAGAATCTTCACTTACAATTGAACGTATGCTCGGTACGAGGGACAAGCGGACCAGTTTCTGATTAGCTGTAAAATCCTCTTTACCATTACTCTCGCCAATTTCTTTCCTCGGACTTGGGTTTCTTGATGCATACAGTTGGTCTGTAGGAACGGAGGAAGTGAGTGATACTTGCGAAGCTTTGGATTCGTGTTTTCTCGCTTCATTGAGATTCATGAAAGATGTTCTTTCCTCCAAATGCCGAATTTCCTCTTGATTATTCAGAAGTTCATTGTCCAGCCTTTTGAAAGCATCATCTTTAACAACACTGCTTATCTGCGCTACTGGTTTCAGTAGACTGGTTCTAGGATTTCGGCTTCCCAGAAGACTTATACGCCCGGTGTTGCTACTCACGGATCTATGCGCAATCGATGAAGCAGGCGTTATGTGCCCAGCGCTTTCGCGTATACTGATATTTTCATTTGAGGTGATAAAGCTCGAATTGTCTTCATCAACTTTACTAGCTTGAGCAGATTTTTGTAGAAGATTTACGGGAGAATCATCTGTCACAATTTCATGCAATGTATGATTTGTATTTTCAGACTCCAAATCTTCCTCGAAGTTGAATTCCCTTAGATTTTGAAGGCCATCCTTTCTCTTAATAACAGGCGAATGAGAGCTGATGCTGTGGCTTTCACTCAATCCTGCTTCGAGCGTATTACTGCGGTTAGAATTAGAGTCCATGTCGTCAACTTCTATGATACTAGAAGATAGCCGCAGCAAGTTGCGTGTCGGGCTCTGACTAGATTTCTTTTCTTGAGTCTCCTTCATGCTTTTAGGAAGAGGGCTTACCAAGTTTGGTGCCGAGTGACTCCAAACACCGGCGGAAGATCTCAGTACCGCAGCAGAAGTTTCTTGTTGCTCACCCGTCCTTTTCAATGCAACGTTGTCCTGCCCATGAAATACCAGTTTGCGTGGCCCATCATTCGTAAGAATAGGGGATCTTGTGTTTGAGCGCAGGGTTGCTGCTCTGGTGACAGCCCTATTGTCTTTGAAAGAGCCGTCAACGCTATTTACTCGGCGCCTCTCAAATGCGGCATAAGAAGGAGAGGTTATTTGATGACTTTGGAGCGTTTTTGAAAGAGAGATAACGGAAGACGCAATGAAACTCACAGTTTTGTAAAGATTGAGATTATCCATGGCACTAGTCGCTTCTGGATTTGCCGCCGACGATCTTGGGCGAGTATCTTTCTGAAGGTCAAAATACCTCCCTTGATGTGAAACTTTTGCCAAGAGCTCGTTCTCCTTGGCAATGAAATACTCTACCTCGTCTATAGTCCTTGCGCTCAAAATGTCAAATTTTGAAGATGCTGTGCTGAGTAGTTTTTGCATTTCATCGCCATCTTTATTTTCTAATGAGGTGATGGAGAATACCAGCTTGATGAAGTTTTCAATTTCGAAGTTTGTAGATTGTTGTTTTGCCTGCGTGGGAACAACTCTTGTGTTATGATTACGCTTCCATTTTGACAAAAGACCCAACATTCCCGTGCTTTCTTTCTTACGGCGTTCAGTGTTGTCTCTGGCGCCTCTCGAAGGTAGATACGAAGATCTGAGTATAAACTCGATGTTCTTAGCAGGAGTCGGAGGAATCAATTTGTCAACAGATGGCGTTGGAGGTACGTGTAAGTCTTTTATTACTTCAGTAACGCTGCCGGTTTTAGGTATCACGAATCCACTACTATTATCCTCGTGGGAATTGCCTCCTTTGGGTTGTAAAACGACGGGAGAGGAGTTATCTCGTGGAAACAGAAACATACTAGCGGTACGCTGTTTGACCTTGACGCTTGTTTTAGGACTCGATTCGTCGCTTGTTTCTGGTAGCTGGAAATTTTCTTTGGACATGTAGAGAGAAAGAACACTTCTATTACGAAATTCGGGATTTTGAGAGCTTTGAAGAGCATAAAAGCTAAGCCGTTTGCCTCCCTCACCAGAAGGCAGTGATTCGGGTGTTATGTCTCGAATTGGGAAATGCAGCCATTCTTCGGGATTGGACGGTGTAATGTCTGGTGAAACGTCTTCCCACATCAGCTTCAGACACATGACCCACGATTTTTTGATCGTTATGACGATTCCCTGTATAAGTTTCGGGGTCGGCTTAGAGTTATCCCATTGTAGTTCGTTAATGTCCGAAACGAACTTCTTTCTCAACACTGCGTCTGTGAGGAAATCTTGAGCAAAATAATTTAGAATCCAATGTCTAAACACCACAAACGTGCGCACCGCTGCTACCTGGCCGATTTTCTCGCGGCTACTATTGCCACACATAATTTCGTTAAATGTCCATTGAAGTCTACATTTCAGCAGATCTAAAAGTTCAATAGGTTTCATGAATTTGCGATACGACAGAAAAAAATCCGACAGAAACATGTACTCAATTGCATCTATTGGCGACGTTAGTTTCACAATTAGTGCGTACAAGTCTGTTCTCATGATCAGACTACTTTTGCCTCGCTGCGCGTAGCTTAATTTCGACTCATTGGGTGTAGGATAGTAATCTTCTCTGCTGAAAATGCTCTGTTCGATGGTCTCGTCTCCAAAACTTTCATCAACGCTCATCTAGGAAAGTTTGGTAAAGCCCCAAGCAAGCGCAAAACAGTGTATCTCTATGTTCTTGCGCTGTAGTGTAACCGTCCGTAATGTATGAACAATTTGATCTCTAACTGTTTAATTCGATGTTTACCATAACCGCCGAGCATTTGACACGGCATCACCAAAAAGCGTCTGTAGAGGCCAAAGTGACATGGAAAAAGCTATGAATGGAAAGAAGGACGTGAGCATTTCAAGAGTATTTAATCAGACTCTACTAGTCTCCAGGAAGAGACTTACAAAGTGACCAGCACTTCTCTGTGCCAGTTGATCTTGTTTCTGCTCTTATATTCAATTTTTGGACCGTTGGATTTCGTCAAACGGTATTTTGAAGTGCTGTGTTTCCAAAACCAAGGGGAATCAAAAACGGAAAGCTCGGAAGAGATCCCTTACAGTTTAGTGTGATTATAGCTCGAGGAATAGCTACTTGGTCAAATATTTGACGCGTTTTCGTATTTTGGCGTCTTGCGCTAGTGTAATAGCTTGTAACTATACACGAATGATGTCTCTCTCTACCTTCAATAGACCCAAAACATGCACGGGTGTGCAGTCCATAAGGATTGGACTCTCCTTTGTTGGAGTTCAGCATAGCCTTCAAAACAGTGCAACCGTCTTTGTATTCATAAATTCTTCACTTTCAAATGCATTGTATTGAGAGTATATCGTATAGTTTCACCAGGACAAACCCACGCCCTGAATCACTCAAATGTCGAAGCTCCATGATGTGCGGCAAAGCACATTCCGCATAACATCGAGATGGCGTCAATCGTAATTGTAATATGAATGCTTCACCCCGCCGATACTTCTTTCGACAATTGAGCTTCCTGCGCCTCTAATTGCTGAATATCGGGAAAGAATAGAGGTTTGTCAATCCTTTTAGCGGTTGTATGCATTTTGCAAATGATCCACATGAGCTTGCAAAGCTTTAAGATCACCCAGAATGTCTTTTGACTGATAATTGTTCGGTGGGTTTTGTGGGAAGTAGTTGGACTGTGGAACGGGGGACGGCGAAAAGCTATGCGTGTCTCGGGGCGGAACAGTCAACCTGTTATTTGAGTATCCCGAAAGCGCAGGACCGGTATAACTTGGGTGAAGATAGTTCCTGTCTGGTTGGCCATTGAGGGGTCCATTGTGATTCATGGCGGGGAAGCCGCCTCCACTTGAGTTTCCTGGCATTGGCGAGAGACTGCCTTGAAGTGGCTGAAATTGACCTGGATTTGATGGCTGGTTGAGTTGCATTGTGCTTGCATTAGGCGACGGAGATGTCGACATAAACAGATGGTTGTTGGCGTTAAAGTGGAAATTGAACTGATTTGGGTTCGTGGTCTGTGGTGACATACCGAACCCTGAATTATTTCCTGGCTCTGTGGAATTGAAGGTTTCATTTCTATAAGTATTCGGGAATTGTGGCGATGACTGGTACTGTGACAATGAGTAATTGTTCGTTGCAGATGGGTATTGGTCAGGAAATCGCAATTGTGGATTTTGGGCTGGGGGTGCTTGTCGCATATCAGATCTTGCGTGAAGAGGTCCATCAATATGCGGTGTTAGAGCTGAAGCAAGGGAATTGCTTGAGTTAGTGCTTATATTCTGACCAGGTTTCGATAGATTTGGACTCGAGAATGCGGGGTTAGGTGATACATGTTGAGTATTAGAGACACCTTCTTGACGAGATCGAAAAAGACTGTTTGCTGACCCGGTAGCCGTAGGTTTGAGTGGTTGTAATGGTTGCTGCGATTGCCAGTTCTGGTCTGCTGGCTTTTTCGCTTGAAAAAAATGGTTAGCGGAGCCTGTGGACGTTGGTCTCAAAGGTTCTTGTTGCATATGCTGGATGGGTGGTTGACTGGATCGGAATAAATAGTTGGCGGACCCAGTGGCAGTGGGTTTCAGTGGTTCCAGCGTGGGTCCTCCTTCTGAATTCCCAGTGGAAGATTGGATCGGGAAGCTGTTCTGGGCAACAGTATCAGCTTTTTGTAATTGCTGAAAATGATTCAAGGACTCTTTCATATCTTCTAAAACCTCCTTTTCTTCTTGAGAATCCGGCGTCTGCTCAGAGGGGGGCTTTGAGACCAGAGCAGAGTTTTTCTTTCTAACGGCTAGATTTTTGAGTAATTGATCCATGGGTAAAGATAGATCCAGCGGTTTGTTATCATCAATGACCTCGCTTTCTTCAACGTGTGAGTTGCCTTCATTGGCCCAGATTTGGTCTTGGAAGGTCACCAAATTGTCGGAAAACCGAACTTTTTTGAGTTTTTTCAGATAATTGGTGATTTTTCGTCTATATCGCTTTTTCTTTTGGCCTGTGAGCAGCAGGGAAGCAAAGCTGTCAAAATCGACCTTTAGTTCGGGGCCTGCGTCTTGTGAGTCGTCAATTTCTTCGTAAACTTCTTCATTTCCTGCAGCCAAAATCGATTTTGGTTTTGGTACTGGTGTGGGATGCAGAATCATTCCTCTTGTAGGCACCACATCATCATGCATAGCACGCGAAATAAGTCTCAAGACTGCAAAAAACTGGCCGATGTTGAGAGCGTTTTTACACGACTTGAAGATATGTTCTACACGGTCTTTGACCACTTGTGAGAGCAGGAAATTCGACATAAATCGAAAAATGTCATCCAATCTTATCAGTTTGGCATTTTTTCGCGACGTTATGTACCCATACCATCGCAAGTACGTTCTTACTTCTTCCCTTGACAGTTGGTTTTTTGAAAGGGAGAGCGGAGCTGCCAAATCTTCTCTCGATTCTTGATATTCCTCGCCGCCAGAACTATTTGTCCGATCCAAACCGCCATTTTTGGAGCCCACAGTAGATCCGAAATCAAATGATACCGGTGGAGGCGGAGATTCTGCGTCCCGAATATGTCCAGAATCATCAGACGAAAGTCCTGGAACATTTAGCCAATCGAAAGACATTCTTGTGAAAGTCCCGAAACGCTAAACCCACACAATCAAATCTCAGTAACGTCTTTCACACGCTCTACAAAGCTTTGGATGGCTCTAAAACTCACAATTACGTTCGATCTTTTCCTTAAATTCTTGATTTAAACATTGAATAAGTTTAAATTGGATATATTCGTCTTCTTATATACTCTACAACTTGATAAACAAGAGACTAGCTATGAAATTCGCCAAATCCAGACGTGGGGGCTCTGGAAAGCGGGCTTTTGGCTCTGCAAACAGTGAATCGGACGATTCCGACCAGGAAGCCGGATTGGAACAGTATGTAAAGCGGAAAACCGCCAAAATAGCTGAAAACCTTCCCACGGCCGCTCCAGTTCCGGAACTGGACTACAATTCCAGGGAAAGCGAAGAACTTAAAAAGAAACCGACGAATTCCAAGCTGATCGAAAAATTCAGGGCTGCTAAAGAGCAGCGGAACTTGGACAAGCTTTACAACGAAGCATTGAAAGCCGACCTGCAAAGTCACAATTTGGATTCTAGTGGAAATCACCAGAGTTACGTGACTGAAGGCTATAAAGAGAAGAAAGAAGCATTGAAACAGGCGTCCAAAGAAAGAGAGCGGGAAGAAGAACAGGAGAAATCTAAAACAGGGTTTCTAGGCTCAGTTTCAAGTTTGAATGTCTTTTTGATCAATACAGCAGAGTCAGCTGATCAGAAAGATGAAAGCTTGGAAAAGTTGGATAAGGGTCCCAAACAAGAATCGAACACGGAACCCAAGGAAACATACCAAAACGACATCTACGTGGGTAACACCACTAACAAGCAAGAAGGAAGCGAGTCGACCGGCAGAGGTTCTCCAGTTATTTTACAACAATCATCACATTTTGGCCGTGAGTCAGTTGTTGCAAAATTCTTGGCTTCCAAAAGAACGGCGGAAGAGATAGAGCATCAAAGACAATTGTACCTAGGAAGAATGGCCATAAAAAGCGGTTCAACAAGCCAGTTGGGTTTGACTCACCACCCCACAGTCACCTAGTGCGAAGATCAACACTGCCTTTGCAATCCAGTAAGGGTTTTTCTCTGCAGAATGTTTTGTTGCTTCTCTTTCAGATGCGTGACTTTTTTCTTAGTAGATAGCAGCAAGGATGATGGCGGTGATCTGGTCGAAGACTTCGTTCTCTTTGCTGTATCGGTGTTGTCCTTTCCGTCGCCCGGCCGCACTAGACCTTCAACGATCGAGTCCACGTCTATACGCTTGTCAACCAGCTTTTTTTGTCTGCGCTCTGCAGCCTGCGGAGAAAGGTCGATGCATTCGTTGAAAACAGCAAAACCGTGGTTTCTCGCATGAGGCCTTCTGTGAGTTTTGCGACCCGAAGACACTTTCCGGGAACTCATTTCAGGTTGGCTTGCTTGCATGTGCTGCTGCTCCAGACTGTAGACGTACGGATCAGTAGCATCCGCAGTTTGGATGGGTAATGATTTGACGGCATTTCGCGGTACGCTACACTCTGCCATTATGTTGGGTTTTGAACATTCTTCCTTTGTTTTATCATTTAAGAAGTCGGCAAACTGATACTTCGAGTCGTCATCTTCGAGCAGACGCTTTTCCTGATCGACATGTCTCAAATAGTCTTTCTCAAGTTCGTCGACTTTCCACTTGGTTGACTGAATTTGCATTCTGAGAAAATAATCCAAAAAGTTCTTGCTGTAGGCTTTTCGATTTTTCGAAAACACAGGCTCTCGATATTGGTAGGGCAGTTTGGACACATCAACGTCTGTACGAGGATTGTCGAGTTTACTGTCTGTTCTTGCTAACAGCTTGGTGATGTCAAGAGACTCACCATGAGGAATGGCGACCTGATTAGACGGTGTAAGGCAATCCATGTCCACTTCTTTCCTGAGCACATGGTCGATATCAACCGCAGAGAAGAAAGCACAGTTCTGAGGAAGATCCTGGATGCCCATCTGCTCTGAGAAAATGGCTCTTGTCCATAAGTTACTAACTTGTAGAGCCATTGCCGTTCTATACTTGTCCTTTTCAGTCGAAAGGTAACGAATCTCGTCATGAATCGAAATGGTAAGTCTCGCATCGATGCTATACTTCCTGATCAGGTAGTTCATGGAACAACACAACAGATGGAGATAGTCAACTCCAGATGACTGAATTGCCCAATTAATACGTGATGGGAGAAATGTGTTTGAACCCAGGTTGCGTTTCATGAGAGAATATGTTATACCTGCTCCAAGAACCGGTGTTTTCGGGATATCTTGTTCTGCTATGTGTTCAAGCTTGTTGAATAATATGGATTCTGATCCACCATACCAAAATTTTTTGAATGTTTTGGAGCGTTTTGTTTGACCCTTTGTTGATTCGTATAGCCTTTCCGCCATCTCTTTGGTTTCAGAATCCGATAAACTTGGATTGAACTTTTTGAGTAATTGAGTTGCGAACTTCACACCGGCACCATATATTCTACCGTAGTTGAATATCTTGGCCTCATTTCTGGAACACTTAAGTATCTGTGCAGTTTTCGAGTGCAAATCGGTGCCTTCATTTTTGGAGCCTTCTAGGCACATCCATCCAATTGGAGTTCCTCCATGTATATTGAAAACAGAATCACTAACGAGGGATGCAATCCATAACTCTTCACTGTCAACGTCGGCACCAACAAATGCGTAGCCATCTGGGGCTTTGATCTGCGCTTTGAGCTCTGAACCTATTCTGTTTGCCTTCGCATTAGAGGCAGTCAACCATGTGTTTTCCACTGATCTTCTAGTTACTGTTCCCATTGGTATAATAGTAGGCAAGATTATGCTCATATCATTATCAGAGGAGGGTTCAGAGTTTAAACTTTTGAACTGACATGGAAACTTTTCCCTGGATACAACAAACTGTGACATAACCCTCTCACGAGCAGATATCCAGTAAGAGCATGAAGAATTTATTTTCAAGGCGTCTCGAGCCAAATCTGAACTGGAGGTTAACACACCTTTTTCAAAAAACTGGAGATACGGCTTGCTGAGAAGGGTTGTACAGTTAAATTGTGGTCCGTTGGGGTGTGGAATTCGAAACATTTGACACCCTGGGATCTCAATTTCGGGAGTATTCACAGCATGGTAGTTTTTCTCCTTCATTTCATCAAGCCTACTGCTTGGGACGGCAAAGCACCATCCACTGGAATCGGTCCAGATTACTGGTTCACCTTCCCAACAAAGTTTGAAGAATAAGGGAATGGTTCGATTTCTGATTGTTATGATAGGAGATGTGCTACTCTTTGAAGGGAATAACTGCCGATACCACTCTGGAAAACCTGGCAACTTTTGACCTTTGGCTGGAACACCTTTTTTGGTCATCCGCAAAGCTTTGAAAGTCCAATCCAATTGCCTGAGCCAAGGATCATTATCTACTGATTTTTTGTTGTCTTTGAGCTTAATAACATCTTCAACGATAGTCACGATCTTTTTCTCGATGCTTTGTTTGCTCTCTTGGTATTGCGTTTCCGACTGAAGAAGGTATCTTTTCCATTCTGACTCTTTTGTTGTAAGAAAGGATGTGGAAAGCAGACGCAAAGCTCCGAATGATACAGGGTGAGGGCATTTAAGCAGAAATAGTGGAAAGACAACGTCAAACACTTTGCTCGTTGCCTCGACATCTGTAGCGCAATAGTTCACTAATGAGTTGAAATTATCAATGATCTCAGTTTTATCGAGCGTCGCAAAAGCGTCGCGTTGAGATTTATCTAGCTTGATCCCGCAATGCAACGATGCTACTTCTTCGAGCGAGTTGAGAGCTGAGACGTTTGTCCACGGCTCTTCATCTTCATCACCAGTCACAGAATCAGCATCAATGTGCTCGCTGTTGTCCGACTTTTGAGCTTTTTGTTTTTGCATCCATTGAGGCCGTTGTCGTGAACACATGCCGGAAGAGGCCACATGTAATGACATTGTGTCTAAAAAAAAGGCCTTTGATTCTTGACAATTATACTCTTCCAGAACGCGGGCACGATCGTATCCAACATTATGGCCTATGACAAGCCTAGTTTTGTTTAGCGTATCCAAAGGCACTAGATGCGTCGGGTCATCAGACTCTCCACACAAATATGGCGAGCACCAGCAGTACCAGGCTTCTTCCGATACCGCGACGGCCAGCGTTGGGTAAGGAGATATTTTGTAGAGAGTTTCAACGTCAAAGACTATGGTTTCTTCGAGTGGGAAGGGTACATGCTCGATAGTTTCACCAGAAGCTGGATATCGAGTCCAACCGGCCGTTCTGAGCCACGATTTGGGCCTCGGCGGCAGCCTTGTGAACTTGTCTCGTGCTTTAGTTAAAAACGGCTCAGATGCATAGTGGCCCAGTTTTTGGAAATGCTCGTCCAGCGAGCTGCCCTGTAAAGTTGGTAGATCAAACGAGATAGGCTTGGAAATGCCTGTCTTTTTCCCCAAAAGACCGTGTTTTTTGAGAAACTGTTTAGACAGACGTGTGAGCAGTTGTTTTTCCTGAGCTGTGATATCTTGGGTTCCCGAACCGGACTTTTCGGGACCAAACACTTGATTGTGTAGATGCTTGCTTAAATGCTGGATTCCTACGGGATTGATGCGCGGTTTTTCATCAACAGAGTACCATCGTACTTTTCTCCACACTCGAAAACCCGATACGGTGTTTCTCAGACTCAAAGACATGCTCTGGAGTCTGCAATGTTTCGAATTCAATGGGTATTTGTGTGTTATTGTAGGTGTTTTAACATATAGGCGTTACGCTGGAATTTGTTGATAGTCAATATAAAGAGGTGGAAATGTGACTATTGACGAAATGCTAGCATTTGAAGAGAAAGTCAACGCCAACCAAACAAATGCTGACTAGGTCAATCAGAAGCTACATTCTCGATTTACTCAAAATAAACAGGGTCTTTTCCATAATTTTTGTTCGAAAAACAGTGCATTTCCTGAATGGCGAATTGATGTAGAAACTTCAGAAAACCAGTTCGGTTGGCCCGCTCAGCAAGAAGACTTTTGCAAACCAATAACGACTACAAAACTGGCTTCAACATGACGAGACTCAAAAGCTGTCTGTCTTTTCCAGAAAGGCTTTGTCTATTAAACTATGTCTTTTTCATAGCTTGTCTGTATCAATATACATAATAAAACTATAGTATATTCTATGACGACAGTTTAAAATAAAAATCTGAGAAACTTCGAAAATTAAGTCAAGAATGATGCATCAAAGTCTTTATAAAGGCGTTCATATTTTGAACTGCGTTGGACTGCGTTTTCCTGCTTATGTTGCTCAACTTTGTTTAAATACTTCACACAAGAAGTTTTCACCAGGGCCCCGTCTATCTAAACGACAAGACCAATTAGACAAGACCAAGAAGAGTTAAACCCAAAAATTTTGGCCACACAGATTCTTCTAAAGTAGAAATAAAGAGCCTTTAAGGCAAACAAACACAGTCACACTTGTCAATAAACGCCCAGCTATTCGAAAAGATGTTTTGAAATCTTTTTAACTAACACGCTGTCACCCGATGTCAGTGAATCTTTTTCGATCACTTTGTACTAAGGAGTTCTAAAATACTTACAGTTTTTCAAACTCACCTTCCGTTCCCCTTTCTGATATCGTACATGGAACCTGGGAAACCAACGAACTCCAGTCCGCTAGACTCGTTTTATTCCGGCTACATTTGGTGAAGCTATAGATTTGAAAGCGCTAAGCGTCAAAAGCAAAAAGTATCTCTTAGACAGGTCTGACTCTCAACTTGTTTGCCTGTTTTTCCGATCACTCACAATTCACATTAGGTTAGCTTTTTACATTCAGGTAACAAGAAATGTCCGCAGCAATTACTTCGTTGACGCCTTCTCAGGTGAACGATGAGCTCAACAAGATGCAGGCTTTCATCAAGAAGGAGGCCGAAGAAAAGTTCAAGGAAATCAAGTTGAAGGCCGACCAGGAGTACGAAATCGAAAAAACCGGGCTGGTCCGCAATGAGATCAGTAACATCGATTCGGCCATGGAGGGCAAGACCAAGAAGGCCGCGTTGAAACAGCAGATCACCAGATCGACCATTGCCAACAAAATGCGTCTCAAGGTGCTATCTACCAGAGAACAGTTGCTGGACGACATTTTCGACGCTGCCAAGATGGAACTCAAGAGCATCTCCAAAAAGGAGAAGACCTACAAGCCCATCTTGAAAGCCGCTATCCTGGAGTCCTTGTACCGTTTGCTGGAGCCTGAAACTGTTCTCAAGGTGCGGGAGCAGGACAAAAAATTGGTCGAGGCCTTGAAAGACGAGATCCGGAAAGAGTATGCCGAAAAGACCGGCAGACAAACTGACTTGTCCATCTCCTCTGACTACTTGAACAAGGACGCCGCTGGTGGTGTCATTGCCTCTGACAAGTCCGGCAAAATCGTGGTCGACAACACCCTCGAGGAGAGATTGACCATTCTCAACCAAGAGGCTCTCCCAGCTATTAGACTTGAATTGTTCGGCATCTCCGAAACAAGAAAGTTTTTCGACTGATTCCCGGAATACAGCTGCGCTGTAAAAAGAACAGAAGCAACAGCAACCCAAAAGGCTCGGGCATTTAATGCTTGCTTGTGCGTATCTGCGCTGGCATGTTTTTTTTGAGACCTATAGTAAAAAATAACTGATAAAATATTGCAAACTCATCACAAGTTCCTCAACGTTCTCAAGCCATTGAGATTGTCCTCATGGGCTTCATTTCTCAATCGCTGGCCTCTGTGCTGTGGACTTGTATTTCTCATGATCTTATTATACACTATTAAGCCTTAAGTAATTCTACAATTTAATGCTTAATGACAATTCGCAAGAACATTTACGAGTTATACACAACATACAGCATGTTCATGCGATCTTTCCGGGTCTTGAGACCCCTGAGCAGACTGCGGTGGCCACAAATCCGAAACTACCAACGTCTTTTGCCCGAGCAAAACTCAGAACTCCTTTCTCTCAAACCAATTACACCTAACGATGCGTTCGTCAGCTGTACAGTTTTCGACAAACAAGGAGGAGTGTGTGCTGTATCCAAAAAGTATCCCAAATGGACGTTCCTGGAGAAGCACAACCTGTACCCTCGCGATCTGCGAAAAATCGATGCCACCGCTGTGGATGTGATTCCTAGCATCGTCGTCAAACCAACCTGCATATTAATCAATTTACTGCACATCAAAGCTATGATCTTGAAGGATTCGGTGTACGTTTTTGATACCTCGAACCCAGAAGCTGCTGTCAAGCTCAGCGTTCTTATGTATGACATGGAGTCCAAACTCTCTTCCGCTGCTGGAGCTCATTCGTCACAACTATATGAGCATCGCGCGTTGGAAAGCATTCTGATGAATGTGATAACCTCGTTGGAGACCGAGTACAAACAGCATTACGCGATCTGTGGAATTATCTTGAACGACCTGGAAGACGAGATCAATAGGGACAAGCTGCGAGATTTGTTGATCAAATCCAAAAACTTGTCTTCCTTTTATAAGAAGGCCCTGCTTGTTCGAGACGTCTTGGATGAGCTGCTGGACAGCGATGAAGATCTGGCTGGCATGTACCTTGGAGTACACAAGACCGAAAATGACGATTTTGCAGATCTCGAGATGTTACTCGAAACTTACTACAAACAGTGCGATGAGTACGTACAGCAGTCCGAAACGCTTATCCAGGACATCAAATCCACCGAGGAAATCGTGAACATCATCTTAGATGCTAACCGTAATGCGCTAATGCTGTTCGAGTTAAAGGTCACGATCTACACTTTGGGATTCACCATTGCAACGCTCATCCCGGCTTTTTACGGAATGAACCTCAAGAACTTCATAGAAGACAGCATTTGGGGATTTGGAAGTGTAGTAGTGTTTTCGGTTATTGGTGCTGTGATTGTGACACGATCCAATTATAGAGCGCTTAGATCTGTCACGAAGCTCACCATGATGAACAATCATAGCGGTGTAAGTTCCGCGAAGCATGCCGCACATGCTCATAGTGCCGTCGATAGAGAAGTTGTTGCTTTCCCAGCACGCTGGGCTCGTGGGCTGCGCGCTATATGGCGTGGATCAAGCTATCCTGTTCGAAATGGCAAAGAAAGAGACATGATTTGGAAATGGCTTGTAGATGATAAAAAATGATCGTTAGAACTCGAGAAAAACAGGCTTCGATCCCACGGACTACACGAAACATTACCAACTTCCAACCGCTCAATAAGACCCACCCTCAGTCGTATTACAGTCAGATTCTCTGTTCTGGAGGTTGGCCGCCAGGTTTACAGACGTCGTCACTATCTACGTGACGGACATGGACTACTTACTATTATTTGCTGGAGTGGTGTACACATCCTAAAAGTTCAGGACTGTCAGTTTCGCGACAGAGCTTCGAAGAATCGCACAATTCTGGTGTACCTGGCTTCCTGCGACTGTTACCACACTTTTCAATCGAATGTACATCAAGGCAGCTGCTTCTGCTTCGAGTTCCGTCCCTCGAGGAACGGGTTTTCTCGACCATTACGATGTTCAATTGATCAAATGTCGAGCCATTGTTCTACGTTTGCAAGAGTTTTTGCGTATTTTGAAGATACTCAACACAACGTCTAAACGCAGGAGCGAAGCGCGTTTCATTATTCCCCTCACAAACTATATCTTGGCTCTTTACGGATGTTTGACCTTAAACATCTCGGAACCACTCAGCAAGAAACTCTTGGCAATTAGTGAGTTCAAAACGGTTCCTATACCAGCATCTGTTCCTGCATACGATGCAGAGCCTGTTGACATCCGAATTGAGCTCGCAACAGTGGGATCGGACCTTGAAGAAGTCAAAAAAAAAGTTTACAATGCGTCACTGCAAGGACAGATTTTGGAAACTGCTATCAAGTTAACGACCACGGCATTGCAAGTTGCAGAGCGTATCTACGGAACGTCCTTGACCGAACGCACCAACAACAGACAGCCAGATATCTCCGGAAGACGCTTCGAGCTGAACGAGGCAGCGTTTGATGAGCTTATAAGGCCCGGGGAAGTTGCTTTGGCATTAGATCTCGCTGTTTTGATTAAAAACTACGACTTGGACACGTCAGTTGCATCATTTCAGAAACTCAATTTACAAGTGCTGGGCAAGTTTAGAGACCATATGAATGAAAAAGCCTTGCGTCCCATCAAGTCTTACCACACGTCACTATTTCGATTCTCGAAAGCAGCTTCCGCCAGTCAGGCCAAAATAATCATGAATTTACCGCATTGGCAATACACAATGCACCGAGTGTATGCCTTGCTACTGAGAATTCTGTATATCCTTTCCATCACGAAAGCTTTTCTGAGGCAAATTTACATTCCCAACAGCCATTGTTTGGCAGCGCATAAAACGCAGCTTCGATCTACGAATGTTTATGAATATCAAGAACTGCTAGAAAGTCTGAAAAGGATATGTCTTGACGGCAAGGACCTCGATGAGCTGGCTGGTCGCGTTAACAACTACAACAACAGTGGCTCATTTTTCTTGGTCCAACCGGCTACTATCTCTGAAGTCTTCAACACTGATATTACCAGTGCCATTCGCAAGCTAAGACATTATTTTCAAACCATAGACTCTTGGATCACGATGTGGACGAACATTCAAGACAACAATGCGGCGACAGAAAAGTTGGATGTAATTTCTGAGTCAGAACTGGCCAAGCTTTTGGAAGAGCGCCTTGCTAACGACAAGCTGGAGCATATAGAAAAGAAAAACAAAGAGGCAGCCGCGAAGAGCGAGGCAGTTGAAAATGCAATGGAAAAGAGCCCTCCTCACAAAAGTACCACGCAATCTACCCCAATCAGAACTGTCTTTAGAAGATCGTCGTTGCAACGGTCCGGTCTCTCCCCCATGGGTAGTGAGGGGTCTCCGCCGAGTTCTCTTTCTCCCAGACCACTTAGCAGATCGCCTTCCTTGAATAATAAAAGGGCATCGCTTTTCAACAAAGTACCCAAAAATGGCAGCAACCACTCGTCGCCACTTGTTTCCAGACGCGGTTCTGTGTCAGAAAATGAGCAGACCACTGGTATGAAATCACCAGTTTCTGCAAAACCTGTTGGTGGTGCCAATGATCGTATGCGTGTTCAAGGAAGAAAACGGTCTGCTTCTTTGCAATCGGCGTTGCATGCTCCGTCTGAGCCAACCTCAAATACATTTCTCGGTGACAACATCCGATCCAATTCTTTGCAAGCGGGTGCAAGCCTCAATCAGCGTATGATACGCAATTCCTTCGCTCAAGTATCTGGTAATTTACTCGGTGGCAGCCCAACCGCCCAAAGAGGAGCCGCAGTCATTTCGCCAACGCCACGGAAAAAAAAACCAGAGGTAGTGGTGCGGTCCGCATCACCTTCTCCTGTTTCTCGGGATCAATCTCCTTCGAAATCACCATCTGATAGTCGAGAGATCGATCAACTTCCGAAGATTGAGTCTTTGGTGCTGGATAACGAAAAGCTAGCATTAATATCAAGAAAGGACAGTCCTGAGAGCAATGATTCTGCCGCAACGGAACCTTCCAGTGAAGCTGGTGTAGATGGAGGAGGAAATGGAGGCCTTCAAGATGACAGTGAGAACCAGGCCACTGACCAGAATGATGATGTAATTATGAAAAAAGTCCGGTTCACTGGTGTCCCTCCATTTTCGATCGACGAGGACCCACGCCCCAAGAGGAGAGGCTGGTATAAGAAGCCAGCAGTCCTGCGCTACCCACCTCCTCCACCCCAGTATGCTGTACAAAAATACACGCTACGTCAAGAGGGCGCTACTTTCCATAACAGCTTGCGAGAAAATGATGTCGAAAGCAACAATGCAGTTCAGAAAAGATCCTCGCTTATAGCACAAGCGGATATGTCAGGCACCACTGGGCATAAACTGGCCTCTAAACTACGGGATAAGCTAATTCGTTAATGATCTGGCGAAAACTATTTGGATTTTCAGTTCATGGACAATAGTCCTAGCTGCATTCTGAAGCTCATATTGCTACTTTACGCTGTTTGCACTAGTAAAGTCAAAACATTAGTGACTGTAGGGACTGTGCATTGACTCGGCCAGAGTCTAGGTCGCTCTTCACTTTTCGCCGTCGCTTTCACGAATTATTGTGCCAATATGATTTCGAAGTTAGAACAGAAGAACATTATTCAAAATCTTGGCTTCGAATACGAGTCTGGAGGATCCCAGCGGATCTGGATCGTAATCTGACTGCTGGCTTTACCTTACTGTTCGCTTGAACTGTAAACGTTGTGTCACCTGATGCCTCTATGACTACTCACTATGAACGACTGTCAAAATAACGATCAGAAATCACTCAAGTTCAAGAACAGAGATGAGATGAGTTAACCAAAGGACTGAAGCTCTGGCCAGAAAGTGACATGGAAGTGTCGTTTTCAAGCTCTTTGAGCGCTTTATTACCTAAACCAAAGCATTCCCAAGCTGTCTCAGAACCTTCGAGCGAAACCCAGGAGCTAATAGCTGTCTCCAGCGACTTGAAAAGCAAGAACAGTGTCGACCAAGATCCAGACGAATTCAACAACAAAAGTGTGAATTTTGAGGCATTTTTACCTCTCAGACAAAAATTTCCAGCCCTGAAAGTACCCCTGCCTAGTGAGACCCAAATTCGTGAAACTTACGAGCACACAAGAGCTGTTTTCGACAAGATTGTGAAAGAGAAACTAAATCCGCAAGGAACAACGACAAGAAAAGGAGTTAGAGCCAGTGGTGGCACCAAGACAATAGAATACAATGGCGGGAAAGACACCATTGGCGAAAAGGGACGAGTTCTGCAAATTGTAGATCGTCAAATTGACCCATTGCAACCAAAAATGTTCAAAGTGAAGAAAATGGTTGCACCACCCAGTGAAGATGAACCTTTCGCACCCATATTGCATAAATCTGACGACAAGGTTCCCCAGCTCAGTAAGGAGGAGCGTGCTAAATGGGCCATTCCATCTGCGATCTCGAACTGGAAAAATCCAAATGGTTATGCAATAGCGCTGGACAAAAGAGTAGCAGTAGATGGTCAGTCAAACCGTGGACTTGGTTCCGATCATCAAATAAGTGACGGGTTTACTAAGCTTTCAGAGGCGCTGGATAATGCCGAAAAAGATGCGAGACGGGACGTAAAATTGAGAGCAGAAGCCAAAAGGATGTTACTGGAACAGGACGCTCGTGACAAGGAAGAAAAGTTAAGACTTTTAGCCCTCAAAGCCCGCGAAGAAAGAGCGAAGGTGGCCAAAAGTTTAAACTCTTCAAGTGAAAACGAAATCGGTTCCCTCAGAGATCGGGAAGCCGAAAAAAAGCAGCGACGGTTGCAGTTGGAAAAAGACCTGCGACAATCTAAAATGGGTACAGCGGACCGCTTGAGAGCCCTGGCCGCTAAACAGAACCGGGAAGTCTCTGAAAAAGTGATTATTGGCGCCGCCAAAGCCACTGATACTTCTGGTGTCCAGTATGACTCACGGTTTTTCTCCAAGGCAGCGAATGCAAATGCCACAAGAAGTGCAGACCAAGTTTATGATAATCCGCTGTTTGTACAGGCCGGTATCAATACGATGTACCGTCCCAACTTTTCTCAACTGGCGGATACTCAGCGGACAGAAGATATAACACATTCCCTGGGTAAACAAGTTTATGATACCACGACTGTTACTGAAAAGAGAGGACGCGAAGGACCGGTCGAGTTCACAGAGGCTCAAGTGGACCAAGAAGACTCCACAGATCTGGAAACAGAACCCAATTCCTCGAAGAAGCATCGTGCTATCTGATAAATATCATGTATTCTAGGTTATCTATGCAGGCCGTAGAAAGAGTAAAAGCGATTTTCACGAACAATCTGATTTGTCTCTAGTCTTATTCTTGAGCGTCATCTTCGCTCACATTGTCGAAATGCTCAGTTTCTCGATTGTTTTGGATCACTGTCAGCAGCCTTTCACTACGTCTAATCGCGTGCTGTTCGATACGCTTGATCGTTCCACTCACTTTTACCGGGTTCACTATAATGTCTTCTATGCCCTCAATCTTGTTCATCAATGTCAATGCCACCACCACCAGTTCGTAGTCTTCTCGACTGCATCGTATTATGCCAGTAGAAGTTCGATTAGAAAAGTACTTCATTTGAAGCAAAGAGTTCACTTTCCCAGCACCATAATCGCCAAAGTTGTACTGCAACACTTTTCGCAGCTCTTGTATGATGGTTTTGGTACTTATCTGGGCCGCACTGGTCCGATGATGCCTTAACAGAATTTCTTTCCGTGAACACTCTGTAGAGGTGCTCTCTTGAGAAGCTGTTGGATAGAGAAGTTCAAACAAAATGTAGCGACTTTTGAGGCGTACCATTATTCGTAACAAACCAAGTTGTAGTCAAGTTGTAATTGAGTGCCCGATGTGATTGCCTCGAGCTATCTCAAGGTCTTTAGAAGTTTTGTCAAGCCAATTGTTCAAGATGTTATAACAGTGATCTGACGATGTGTGTAATATACTATAGGACTTCGCTAGGAAGAAAAGCTGAAAGAATCAATGAGGACCAGAAAGGCAGTTCTCGACCTCGAATAACGTTCTAAAAACATTTTAAACATGTTTACAATGCTCAACTCTGTGTTGAGGCTATTATCTAGGGATTATACATTGAACAGACTAGATCGAAAGCTTCTCTTGCAAAAGTTCGGAAACTTCCTTAACGGCGTTTTCAATTCCGTCAGGCTTGTCACCAACACCTTGGAAAACGTTGGCTTTACCACCGGCTTTACCACCGATGTTGCGAGAAATTCTGTCCAAAAGGTCGCGACCAATGACACCCTTCCCAAGAGCATTGTCGGAAATGTAACAGCCATGGGCAACCTTTTCGCTACCATTCAGCAGATAAATAGTTTTGTCTTTGGCGGAAGTTTTCATGTAGTTGACAGCTTCGGTGATGGCCTTGGCATTGGTTGGGATATCGACGTACTTGACGAAAAATTGAGCAGACTCGTTTTCCGCGAAAAAGTTTTTAACCTCATCCACAGTCTGCTTGGTTTCTTTCTTTGCACGAGTTCTGAGCTCATCTTTAACAGCTTTCTCGACCTTGGCGAACTTTGTCTTCAAGTCGTTCTTAGCCAAGACAGAAATATTTAACTGTCCGAGGCTGACACCGAGTTCCTTGAGCTTCTTCTCCTTTAGTGGCGAAAACGGTAGCTTTTCGGCAGCCTCGAGCTCAGCGTCGAAGCTGGAAGCAATTCTTTGCACTTCGTGGGCTTCAGTGCCGGAAACAGCGACAATTCTGCGAATACCTTTAGCAATACCGCTCTCCTCTGTGATGACAAAGTCCTTGATGTCGCCAGTCTTGTTAACGTGAGTACCACCGCAGAACTCAACAGAGTATTTCTGCCACTCTTCGTTTGCGGGATTGCTCAACAACTCGTCCACTGGCATACCCACTGACACAACACGAACGGGATCTGGGTAACTTTCACCGAAGACAGCACGGACGGAAGATATTTGCTGAGCCAATTGCAAAGGTACGTTTTTGTAGTAGACCTGCAAGTTGGCTTTGATTTGCTGGCCACACAGATCCTCAACTTTTTTAACTTCATCCAAAGTCAAAGCTTTTTTGTGCGAGAAGTCGAATCTCAGTTTCTCTGGTGCAACCAAAGAACCCTTTTGATCGATATCACCTCCAAGCACCTCTTTCAATGCAAAGTTTAAGATGTGGGTACCAGTGTGGTTGTTCTTGATAGGGAAACGGCGAAGCTCATCAAAAGAAGCAATGATTTTGTCGCCCACCTTGAGCTCACCTTCGGCGACGAATCCAGTGTGGAAGACGTAGCCGTTGTAAAGTTGTACGTTTTCGACCTTGAACTCAGTGGAACCATCTATCACCAAAGTACCAACATCGTATTCTTGACCACCTTGCTCAGCGTAAAAACAAGTCTGATCTAGAATCACACCGTATTGACTGCCCACTTCTCCAGTACTGGAAACAAAGTTTTCACCATCGTAAATTTTCAAAATCGTTGCCTCCACGTTGGCAGAGGTGTATTTTGGAGAGTCATCGGTCTTAGCAATACCTTCCGAGTTCAAAGTTGAAAGTCCGTGAACATCCAGCTTTATCAACTCAGCGACTCCCTTTTTACCGCCCTTCTTGGAAGCTTCGTACGATTCCTGTTTAGCTTTTTCGAAACCAGGACCGTCGATTTTCAAACCCTGCTCTTCGGCCATTAGTTCTGTCAAGTCGACAGGGAAACCGTAGGTATCGTATAGTCTCCAGACTTGAAGACCATCTAGAGTCTTTGCCTCCGTCTCCAAAGCGGCCTGGGCGTATTTTTCAAATAGTTTTTCACCTCTGTCTAGGGTCTTAGCGAAAGAAGCCTCTTCCTCATCCAAAATCTCGAAGAGATAACTAGGGTCTTTGGCAATTTCGGGGAACATGGTCTTAGTTTGTTCTATCAAAGTAGGAGCCAAAGTCGAGAAGAAGTTGCCGATTGGGTAGTTCAAATACTTGCGGGCGTAACGAGCGCCTCTTCTTAAAATACGTCTCAAAACGTAACCTCTCCCCTCGTTGTTAGGCACACCGCCATCGGCCAATGCAAACATCAACGTACGGACATGATCGGCCAAAACCCTGTAAGCGGTGTCGACACCATCCGCATCTTCAGCTCCGAATTTTCCGGCGTAAGCTCTAGCGCCAGTGATCTCTTGAATACGCGCAAACAAAGGCTGGAACACGTCTGTGTCGTAGTTGGATCTAACATCTTGCAAGACAGACACGAGTCTTTCAAAGCCCATACCCGTGTCAATGTGTTTTGCTGGCAAAGGTCTCAACTTTCCGTTTTGTTCTCTGTTGTACTGGATAAAAACGATGTTCCAGATTTCCAGAACGTCTGGGTCATCCATGTTGACCAAAGAGGACGCGTTTCTGCCACCAATACGGTCGTAGTGGATCTCAGAACAAGGGCCACATGGACCCTGTTCACCCATTTCCCAGAAATTGTCCTTGGCGTTACCGGTCAAAATGTGGTCGTCCAAAACACCGACTTGGCGCCAGAAATCGCGCGCTTCTGTGTCTGCTTCCAGTCCCTGTTTGGCATCACCCTCGAAATATGTCACATACAGCCTGTCCGCTGGAATTCCGTACACCTTGGTAAGCAGTTCCCATGCGTATGAAATGGCTTCTTTTTTGAAATAGTCGCCAAAAGACCAGTTCCCCAACATTTCGAAGAAAGTGTGATGGTACGAGTCTCTTCCGACGTCTTCCAAATCGTTGTGTTTACCACCAGCTCTGATACATTTCTGAGAGTTCATTGCACTTTTCAAGTTGTAGAAATCAGAAGATGGGTCCACCGTGCCCAAAAAGATGGGTTTGTATTGATTCATACCGGCGTTTGCAAACAGCAGCGTGGGATCATCGTATGGCACCACTGGAGAAGAAGCAACAAACTTGTGGTTACGTTCACCGAAATATTCCAAAAACGTGGAACGAACGTTAGTTGCAGTCCATTTTTGCTTGTCACCAACCGTCATTTTGGCTCTGCTAAAAGTTAACCGTGTAAAGCTCTTGCGCAACACTTTTCAAGCACCTCAAGGCAGTTGAAACCGTGAACTTTGGTCTCTTTTTATCGAGAATTCTTAAACAAAATCGTGGTATAGACGATCAGATTAAAAGGAAGATTTTGAAATTTCAGATTATAGGTTATTGATGGCTCTTCGTTCAAAGCGATTGAGATGATGAGTATTAAAAAGTATCGATACGTCACGAAATAAATAAGAGATAACCGAGAATAGAGAGTCGTTCTTATACGTGTAGGAAGAGTAAGATTTGTGAGACGTGAGGGCTCAAATTTATAGCTTACATATTCGCCAGCGGGTTTAAGTCTTTCTTTATTGAGTGAGTGAGGTTTTTTCTTCAAAGAATTTCTATTGTCGGTTTCAATTGATCTGGGATTCGGGATGTTTTTGAAATGTTGCATGAAGCATGGTAGTGAGCTTGATGTGCTCTCTTTAAGGACGGTGTTTCGCTGACTTTTGGGAGGTATATTTATAGCGAGATTTTTGTATCACTTTGTACTAATGTGACGCTTCGATTCTAAGATCTGGACTAGAAAGGTATAAATCAGTAGTAGAAATCCGGGCCAGAAAATCTTCCGGCTAGCGTCGTAAGGAAGAGAGTGTGTTTATAACGAGTGTTTGATATGCGAAGGTTATCAAAGAAACGGTTTGTGCCAATTACATGCAAAATCAAGCCATAAAGGATGTATATATCTCTTTGCACGTGCCTTTTCTTTTCTCTTTCCAGTGCTCAAAGGTTGAAACGTTTATGAAAGATGGTAACTGTGCTTTATTTCTTGACCGACATTAGCTCTTTACATTCGAAGATTCTCGTTGCTAAGTTTGACTTTAAGGTCTTACTCAGAGTACATGTAACTTAAGATGCAAGAGCCAGTTCATCACGTGATCAGTGTCAGCGACAAAAACATCATGGAAAAGTGATGGAGGAGGACAAAGTTTGATCGAAGAAGTGCCATTTAAACTCTTTTATTGATTGTCTTGGGAATTAAGGGCTCTCATTGCAATTTCTTTAGCATTTAGTGCTAACAAATCCCGCTTTCATCACTATTTTCGCTTCTTTTTGAAAATTGGAAAATACGCTTGGTATTTTTGACCGAAGAGAGGACCCAAACTTTCGAGCATTCTTCTGACATTCATTCGAGCCATTGTTAGCAAACGGTAACTCTACCAGCTCCTACACTGCTTTTCCATTTTCCGTACAACGTTACTTCTATAAATGAAATTTGGCGCTTATTATGCTAGATCCATCGCTACAACGATCTGTCAAAATGCGGAATAGTAAGGACAGCTTGGGTTAAGAGCATGTTTCTGACCATCTTTGCGTTGCTACTTGGCATATTCCATGTTGGCGGATCGGCGGTTGTTAACTTCCCGAACTCCTCCTCCGGAGACACGCTACGGGCATGGAATACCTTGGTGAAATTAGTGGATGATCGAAACATTCTGCAGCAGCTGTACTTTGAAATCGCAGGAGTCGGGGATGAATTATATGAATTTGATGCAATTGATGACCCTGCTCAGATGTCGAGCCGCATAGTGAACATTTTGCGAGATTATAATCCTGATACGGCTGATCTATTCCCTTTGCATTTTGCAACAGAGCCAGGGTTCAGTAAAAACATATCAAACGAGAACTTCTTCATACTTAACCACAAAGTTTTCCGCTCGCCGGATGATCTATTTTACCTCAAGAGTTCTGACCTTGCAGCTCAAAGATTGATTTTTGATAGTGTAGTTTCAAGCCCTGAGGAAGTCATCCTCGGAAGCAATGAAAAGGCTCCACTAGTTCAATTCTACGGATGTGATCGTGTTTCAAGTTGGGAGTCATTTAATAGAAACTTGCTCACAGAGTGTCAGGCTGGTAAAATAAGGTTTTTGTGGAGAAGTACATGTCCAAACGACCAATCCTTCAAGTTCGAACCTTCAGCCGTGGCGCTAACAGTGAAGAAGTCACAATGGGGCAAGCTTGTTGACTTACCTTTGGATTTACCCGATGCTTTCAAAAACGGGGAAAACTATGCACAGAAAGTCAGTGATGCGCAATTGAGGGACCTTGACAAAAAGGTGTCTACTACAATATGTGATCTTTACGAAAAGACCCAGGATTTTTCAGAGACCTTCAACTACATGAAACAAGTGATTAACAACTTTCCCGCGCTTGCCCACAAATTGGCAAATATTCAAGTCTCAGACTCGAAGCTCGTCCAAGCCGTGGACAAAACAGAGAAGAATGGTATCGATCATACTATGCTCGGTATTTACATCAATGGCCAGTATCACAAATTGTCGAACTTGGACAAAATTTCTATTCTTCAAGCTGTAACGGCAGAAGCGACACGTATCGATTTGATAAGAAAGCTTCTGCAGATCTATGAAGGTTCAGACGATGAACAATCCACAATCCTAGCCAAGGAGCTCGTGCAGAAATTTTCTGCACACTCGCAGAGCACTCTTCAAAACTCGCAGCCAGCCAAATACGATTTACATCGTGTAGCGGGCTTTTCAGAAAGCGTCATCTACTTCAATGACATCGAGAATGATGCAATCTACAAGGAAAAGTTGAATGACAACATCGCTGAGTTTTTCAAAAAGTCGGAATTTGGCCACATACCAGCTTATAGGGAAAACTGGAACGAGGTTATCTTTGTCATAAACTTATCCGAACTCGAGTCAAAGGACACAGTGGAAGCCTTACAGGGATTGGTCAGAGCGATTTCTGTTGTCGAAAACGGACATCCTCAGAGGATTGGTTTCCTTCCCATGGTGACCAAATCTCAGGACATGGGTATACTTCGTAGGATATACGAGCTGAAAAGCGGAAATTTGAAAGACCTCGCCAAGTACCTACAAGAATTGTCTGTTGGAAGTGGGCTAAAATCTAGCGAGTTTGAAAACATACCACCAGTATTGGATATTCTGGAATCTAAGCTTAAGCTGAAAAATTCCTCCATCATTGTCAATGGCGAAGTGTATCCCTTCAAAAGCAACCTATGGAATTACATGATTGCCAAAGTGATAAAGAAAGATGTCTCCTACATCAAGGATGAATTGCGCCGTATCAATGCTGCTGATGTTCTCACCGCCAGAGAAATTCTGCATAGAAGATCCTTCACAGAAAGAAATTTGAAGCTTGCGCCAGACTATTTCGAAGATGCAACATACTACGTTACCAATGTAACAGCTTTAAAATTATTGGGAACAAGATTGGTAGAGTTTACCAAGAGCACGGATCATAATATGCTGCACACTATCACGATTGTTGATGACTTCGATACCCCGCTAGGGCTCAAAAGACTTTTGAACGCCACGAAGATAGGTCTTCTTGGAGTAAGGATAAGAGCCATTCACACCGGTGCGGAATCAAAACAATGGCTTAAAATGCGGGTCTTACTAGAAAAATTGTCCTTCAACAATATCGAGAAAATTCTTTCAAACATGAAGACTAAAGCATCGGCCAATCTTATTGAACACTCCATTTTGAATTTATGGATATTCGAGCTGCCTAGTGAGAATTCTGTCAGGAAATCCTTCATGACCATCAATGGAAGATTTGTACAATTCGAAGACAATGAAGTGCTTTCCCCTAATGAATATGAAATGATTCTACAGCGCGAGGCCTTGCGTGTCCTTGATGCCACTCAGGCTCTTCAAGATATTTTACCTCACTTTGTGAGCAATAGCATAAATCCTGATTTGATTGAGATGCTATCCAGCGTTTTGACTAAAATGTTCTACGATGGACAGCGTTTTTACAATAACGGCATTGACTACACCGCTGAGGGCTCACTGTCACGCGTTAATTTGGAGGAGTTCGTGAATTTCAACGCGTACAATTCCTTTCAATTGTATTCGGACATCAGAAAAGTTGACATTACATTAATCGTTGATCCTTTGGAAGAAAGGACGCAAAAGCTTTTAACACTTGTCTCCGAACTTATGGACTTGAAATTTGTGAACATTCGTTTACACCTTTTGCCAACGAATGACTTGAAAGTATTTCCGATTCATAGGTTCTGGCTTGAAAATAGCAAAGTGCGCCCGGAAATGGAAGAGTTGGACGGTTATTATGTTGACGTTGAGCGTCCGTTCCATTGGCACATTGGCCCGCTAACTAGAGCCAGTGCGGAGTTCGAATATGCCATTCTAGAAATCAACGCATTTGGTGATTCAGAAGTCCCCTCAAAGGGTCTCGTTGAGGGAGTAGGGAACGTTTGTCTTCAGCTGGTTAATGAACATAATGAAGTGGTTGATAAAACATTTACGTCAACTACGTTTGGATATGGCCAGCTGAGACTTTACAGTCTAGAACGGCATTATCGAATCGAAAGTTGTTCCGAGGACTTTAGAGTGACTTCATTTTCGCTCGACGCTCACTCAAATTACGCGCCTATCGAGTCGTTTGACTTGGCAAGCTTTTCCCCGATGCGCGCATACGTCAAGATACGAAAAGAGAGTAGTTCTCTACCTGTAGAAAGTTTTGACCCTCGAAAGAGTTCGGTTGACATATTCTCAATTGCTGAAGATCGCAATCAGGAAGACGAACTTAAGGGCTTGATCGCTAGCATTCTAAAATCGAATCTGGAAAATGGCATTAAAATGTGGATATTGATGGGGGAGTCTCCTTCGACAGGCTTGCTTCAATTTCTGAGTAAAGTGTCCACGAATTATGAAAATCGTATCCAATTTGAGCTTTTAAAGTACGATTGGCCGCGTTGGTTAAGACCACAACGTTTCAGAGAAGACGAAGTTGCGGCCTTGAAGGTCTTGATGCTGGATTACATTTTTCCTGATGAGGTCGATAAACTCATTTACCTGGAACCTGGAGCCAGAATTGAAGATCTCAAGGCCTTATGGAAGTTCCAATTTGACACAGCCTTCTGCTTACCTCGTGCGTATTATTCTAATGGTAGACCATACTGGAAAGAGGGCTATTGGCAAGATTTTTTGAGCAAACACAATCTTAAATTTCATGCGATAGATCCAGCCTTCATCGTTAACTTGACCAAATACAGAAACGAACATGTTGGTGAAAAGTTTCGGATTCATTACCAACGCCTCTCTGCTGGTATCAATTTTTTGGCGAGAATAGACCAGGACTTGATAAATGATATGCAGTTGAAGGTTCCATTATCGACATTGAGAAAGAGCCTAGTTGCACAGAATGCTTTCAAACGCGACGGGGACAAAGAGAACCTTGAGGTGCTGTACAAGGAATTTTCACAAGAGAGTGAAGCTGCGCGGGCGAACCAGAACGATTTTGATCACGATGAGCTGTAAACATATCACCTGGCCTCATTTTTACCTCAGCGTTGGTGCTGGTTTAATGCTGACCATCTGTTGATTGGCAAAGAATTTCAAGAGATACTCAGTCCTTTAGAAGGACTGAACTTGGCCGTGTTGACAGAAGTAGACTTTCCGTGATGTTGCTATCAGTTGTACTAACAGAGCCTAACTGAATCATGACAGAATTGAATCTGCGAAAGATGAATCAACACGACACAACAAAGCCCGGCCAAAGGTTTGCGACACTCTGACGTCTCTCTTGTGGAATAATAAAAGTACCTACTCGCTTTGCTTATAATGAGACCTGGCTGGAAATGAAGACATCGCAAGTCCGGAAACAGGCATCAGCAACAGAGACAAAGACGCAGATGAAAAATCGATAGCTGATGCCCACGCTTCGATTCAGAACCCGCGGCAACGCTCTAAAGTTTCTCACCCGAGTACTTCAGACCCTCATACTCAACTCGCGTCAGAATCTTTCAAAGTGACCTATTAAAGTGAAATGTTTGTTCAAGTTACTCTAATGGTCGAAAGAAAATAAGACATAGTCAGCGGCTGGATCTCTCTGCATTTGTTGACAATTGAAACATCAGATGCCTGATCAGAAGTGAACTCATTCGAACATGGACAATCGGAAAAGTTTCAATGGCTCAAACAAGAGAGTAATCGGTGAAAGTACATTAGCTCCAGAAGAGGATAGATCAAGTGGTAACTCAGCTTTGGGCCCCAAGCGACTAGCCTGTTCTAGCTGTCGGCGTCGGAGAAAGAAATGTGATTTGAATTTTCCATGCGGTAATTGTTCAAAGCTGAGTTTGGAGTGCAATGTCAACATGGAAGATATGAGAAAGAAACGACACACGGCGAGTTATGTGGGCTCTTTGGAATCTCACGTTGCCACCTTAGAGTCAAAATTGCGTAAGCTCACCGAGACTCTTGCCTCAATAGCTGGCTCAAGTCTGTCAAAGGCTGATACAGACGGCCCCCCAAATAGTTCAGAAAATTCGTTTATTGGTCGCAACGCGGACGACATGATAAATGGTTCTAGCGTCAAAACTGGACCGACGTCTGCGGTCAGCAATTCAAGCATATCAAAGGACGACAACCTGCGCAAAAAAGGGTTTGTTAAAGGTAGCATTTACCCTGAAGGACCTGCCAGCTACAAGCCAAATAAGTCTGATCAGGCTTTGGCCAAACCAAAAAATAGGATATCAGATCTCAAGACTACCGTTATTGTACGCACAAGCAGTGATGGTGGAAAAGCGCTTAATACCAACGCGCAGATTTTGAAAAGTTTATCAAACTTCTACGTTTGGCTTTATCCCGGGCATTTCATATTTGTTCATCGAGAAAGTTTCCTGTACGGCTTCTTCAATCATAGCGAGGATAACTATGACAGCTCTCAGTATTGCTCTGAAGAGCTCATATATGCTGTAGCAGCGATCGGTGCCAGATTGACGCCCGATTTACGAGGTCTTGCGGATAATTTTTATCAAAAAGCGAAAGAGAAGCTTTTAATGGTCGTTTTCAGCGAGCATAGCATAGCCAAGATTACTACCGTCCAAGCCCTATTGTGTTTAGCATTCTATGAGCTTGGAAATGGCCAAAATCAACTGGCTTGGTATTTTTCTGGGCTTGCCATTCGTGTTGGGCACGATATGGGCTTTCAATTGGATCCTAGGGTATGGGTGACAGACGAGTCGAGTTCCAATGAGCTTTCTCAAAGCGAACTCGAAATAAGAAGCCGGATCTACTGGGGCTGTTACATTGCAGATCATTTTATATGCCTTTTGTTGGGACGAACTTCGACTTTAAGCGTATCGAATTCGACCATTCCCGAAAGTGATGAACTTCCTGAGGTTCACGGCACAGAAGAATTTCGATTTGAGAGTAAACACGTATTACAAGTTTCTTTACCCTTGAAGAATCTGGTTATTCTCTCGAGAATCGTGCAAGTCTTTACAGCTAAAATCTTTATCGAGCCGAGCAGTACATCTCAACGTATTGAGTACCTTATTAAATTCAACCTAAGGGTCTACAATTGGCGCCAATCACTACCGCACTTCTTAAAATGGTCTAAGAACCTAATCAAGGACTTAGACAGGTCCACGGACCCTACTATTTGTTACTTTTGGTATCACTACTACATCGTTCTTTTGACGTTCAACAAACCTTTTATGGAAGATTGCAAAGAGGCGAAAACGCTTGTTTTGGAGGTACTTGGAGAGCTGAAGACTTTGTTGTCTAACTTCCACGTCAAGTTTGGCAGCTTTGAAAAGGCGGGCATCTACCAATTGTACAGTTGTCTTTTGTCACTGGCATGCTCTAGAAAATTCAGTAGTATGTCGCTTCCCGCGGATACTGCACCTACTGTAGAGAGCGGTGCAAGGGACCAGAAGTTCTTCACAGACGTGTTTCAACAATTTGGCGTGAGCTACGACTTACCGCGCAAGCTCGAAGAAGAGCCCGATTTAGAGGTGGAAAACGATCCCACTTCTATCAATCAGCTGAACAATTTAGCTTACACGCACGATTTCTCGTTAAGCGATGAAATCGACGATTTAATCAAGCAGGTGTTTGGATTTGAAAGCTGGTCTTTAAACACTGGTCATTCAGTATAGATGACAGATGTTAAATTGAGAAGACTTGATTGATGACGAATTGGACGGTGGACGTTTATCTCTACGAACTGAGAGTTTTCAAATAAGTTGAACTTAAAAGATTCGGGAGGGCGTCCCGCAAGAAAAGAAGACAAAAAGATAAAGACACTTTGCGTGCGTTGAAGTGACTACAAGTTTCGAGAATAAGCCGTATATATAGGAAAGAAGCACATGTAAACGTCTGGTCCCAATGATCGGATGCCATTTGCAACGCTAAGCTTCTTCTGGCTCATCGTATTGTGCAAACCAAGTAACTAGAGGCTCCGCCCAGACATCCTAAAGCCCTAACATCTCTGCACCCAGACATATTTTATCAGGTGGCCTTTCCACCCATACATTCGAGCACCCTGACACCCAGCCACCCAGTCATTTCCTCACTTACTCCTCCTTTCTTTTAGGAGGTCTTTCTATCCACCCATGCATCCCAGAACCCTTGCATCCCCCCACCCATACATTTTCCTGACCATAACGTCACGTTCATAAACCCATACATCTCCCCACCCATACATTTCCCGATCATTGCGTCACGCTTACAAACCCGTGCATCCCCACACCCAGACATCTCCCCTCCCCTTTTCCTGTTTCTTTTTCTTTTCTTTTTTCCCCCCTTCCGCAGGATCTTCCCCTCCTTTTCCATTACCCGGCCCTCCTCTCTCCGTGTTTTCCTTTGCGCCCCCATTGTTTCTTTTTTCTTTTCCCCAGAAAAAAGCAACTCCATCTCTCCTTCCGTCGCTAGCCACGAGCAACGTTCGGGAGTCCCAGGATACGAATTATCACTCATCGCAGTATCTCTACCGGCAATATATAAAAATGCAAAAGCGATGAGATGAGATGAGATGAGATGAGATGAGCTCCTGCTACAAAGATAAGTTAACCATTTCTCACTCACAAAAGAACCAGCTTGCAAGCATTGAAGACACTGAGAGCTTGAGAATATATACGCAATTAGCAAAGATCAGCATATAAGCTTTTTCAGCGAGAAATTTAGTGCATTTTTGAGTGTTTTTTCAGCTTACGAATAGGTGTACCACCCAAGAGAAAGACAAAAGTAAGACTTCCAGAAATAGTTGTTTGTTTTCTCTATACATAGCATTTTTATCAGCTGAAAGTTCCTGGCACCATGGAAATCAATTCACCCCAGCCAGAACATGCGCAATTGGTAGGATCGCGAGTGCACCCCAAGACCGTCGCTTCCGGCCGTCTTCTAGCAGCTCTGCATCAACAAGTGGTCCACGCCACCAATGCGGACGCAGTCCGCATTGGTGGTGGCCCTGGAGCACCAGGTTCTATCGACGCAGCTTTGCTGGAACCTGCAATCGCGGAAAACCAACTGATTCCTTCCCCACCATTGTCGCCCAAACTGGTGGCTCAAGACATTGTGGCTGACGAAAACTCGTTCGAAAACAACCTGAAAGCCTCTGCCCACGAAGAAGACTTCGATTCGCTACTGGTGACCCCAATCAGTGTTGCCCATGTATCGCCCAGGCGATACCGGGCAGCCACCCTTGGATTTTTGGCCCAATACCGCTGTATAGACCTGTCACGGTCCCACAAACGGTATCCCGCGTCTTCTAACTACAAGACAGCCCGCAGAACCCGTAATTACACGTTTTCCCCCGGTGGAGCAGCTTCCCACAATTCCGGAAACTCCGATTTCGAAAGATCGTATCGCACGCGGCGTGTCACTGGCAACATGGCTAGCGGATCGGGACCAAATTTACGTCGTCCTGCAAATCTGGACCTCTCTCGCGATTCCACACCCGTCATTTCAAGACCCTCTACGCCCACTAACAGACATCGCAAAACCGCACAGATTTCTTCACCATTGGCCTCGGCTGCAGCTGTGTCTGCTCCAAACATGAGTTGGGAACGTTTACCGGACTACAGCCCACCAATGTCACTACTGCCCAATAACAACAAATGTCTGAAAGTTGAATGGAAGGGATCGTCGATGGACCTTTCCGACGATCCTCTGAAAGATCTTTTACATCCAGCAGAGTTGCAATTGGCTCAAATACTAAGACTACCATGCGACTTGTACCTGGACTCCAAGCGGAGACTTTTCTTGGAGAAAATGCATCGTCTGAAGCAAGGCTTACCGTTTAGAAGAACAGACGCTCAAAAGGCATGCAGGATAGACGTGAACAAAGCGTCCAGGCTCTTTGCGGCGTATGAAAAAATTGGTTGGTTGCAAGACGATAAATTCGAAAAGTTCCTATAGACCCAGCCAACAGCTTTGGCAGGGGCATACGGACAACACTGGCATTCTTCTTCTATTCTTATTTTGGGTAATGATTTTTGGTAATATCTCGGCAATAATTTATGGTACAGGGACGAACAATCTTTTGACGGTGGTCGGTTGGAAGAAAAACATGGTTTCGCCAATCGACACTTTATTTTATACATATATATGTTGTAACTTTCTTTCTTTGTTTTGAGAGAACCGACTAGGTAAAGGGTCTTAAAACAAACAAATCCGTCTACATTTTAATTCTTCACTTTTGTTCTTCTTCTTGTGAGCTTCAAAACGAAAAAGTATCCCGTAGCTATTGTGTGCTTCGAGTGGGCCAGCCCATTTCTTGTTCAGTCCTCGATTTCTTCGTAGCGCGCCAACAATTTTTTCTTGTATTCCTGCATGTCATTGTCCCACAAATCTGCGGCAACTGCATTCAGCGGAGAGCTATTGTTAGGTTCTTCCAACAACGATTGCAGCGACAAAAGGATCGTCTGCACGTTGTAAACTGCGGACCATTGGTCTTTCAAAATGTCCAGACAGATGTTCCCGCTCATGTCTACGTTCGGATGCCACATAGGACTCACAAACCGAACTTTGGGCGCCGTGTATGGATACGTCTGTGCAAACTCCAAAGCGATTTTGAACTTCAAGTCCTCATATGGGGTTCCCTCGGGCCCCGTAACAATACCACTCCATTTCGTCAAATCCTCTTCGCTTTCAGGGAAAGCACTTAGCCCAGGAGACGGCGACATCATAAGTTGCACCAACTCGCTTTGTAGTCTTTTGACCACCGAATGACCCTCTGGAACCCTCGTTTTCCCGCTGCTTTCCATTGTAAATTGTTCTTGTTGTTGTGCTCGAGTTCCCAATCTCTCTTTCGCGCTTGGAGAACCGATTCCCAGTATTTCAGTTGTTCTTTCGGTCGACGATGAGCTCTGGGTTCAGCTTTCTTGTAGAATTTCTTGTTAATAGTGAGATGTGGTCGAATTCAATAACACACACAAGTGGAAAAAAGCATGCTGACGTAAACGGTTCTGAATGCAACATGTGATTTTCATGTGCTTTTCACGTGCTGGTGTTAGTTGGAAGTTTGATCGGTAACGCGTTGTAAAGCAGACCAATCCGGTGCTAGGACTGGTAAATCGTTGTTTGAATGTGAAGTTGAAGACGCCAAGTCGTGTTCGGAGTCGTTCCCGTGTTTGGAGGACTCCGTAGGGAGCTCTTGGAGTTCCAAACGCGTAGTTTGGGCGAGATATTGGGTTCGTGACGATAACACTGTTTTTGCGGAAGCCGCAGAGATTGTTGGCTCGACAAGACTGCGAATACGGTCCGGGGAGCATTTGTCGTTAGACTCGAGAGCCAGTCCGCGAATCTGTGACACCACAAACTTGAGACTTTCGTTGATCGGAGTCAACGAACGCCAAATGGCCCGCTGTTCGTCGTTTGTTGCCACACTTTCGTCCGCAAACATTGCAAGAACTAGCCGCTTGTACTTCTGTATTCGCCACAGCAGTTTCTGGGAGTTTTGCAGCTCGTCGCGGAGTTTTTTGTGTTGTAGTAGTTTGGAACGCAATTCTTGTAATTTCGATTCCACTTTACCCACCATTTCGTCCTCCTGCGTTCCAGGACTGTTCTGCAGCACTAATGAATCGTGATGTCGCAGACGAAACGACCCGTTTTCTATCAATGCCTGTGGAATTTGCAACACATTCCGCAGTATGTATAGTTCCAGTTTGTCAAAGCTTCTGTCTACAGAATGCTCCCATAAAGTCTCAACTTTCGCGATCCCCACGCGGATCTCCTCCGTATAGTCGTGGCCACCCACAGAGCTGCGTTCCAGCAGATATTTCTCCATTGCCTGTGTGCATTTGTACATCAACTCGTTAACCGCGTTTATGATGTCGTCTACAAGCGAAATGGGCGGATATCCCAGATGTTCTGTGAGCAGAAGCGTTGTGCGCATCGTTGGCGCTGTCATAGTGTGAGCCCAAGCAGGTAAGAAATCTAAGCGGTGGTCGGGTGAAGAGTGCTGGAAACGTTCGCTGGAGAGTAACAGCGGTTGTCAAGTTAGCATTGATTCCATTAGTTTTAGATTTGGAAGATGTCGATTCTGTTCGTCGATAGTGATTGCATGTAATCAAAACAATCAATTTATCGACATGACTGGAGGAACGAGTAGGGGAGCAAGTAAGGGATCAAGTAGAGAAGCGACTAGAAGACTCATTTGGCTAGGTCTTTTCTACTTAGCTAGACCTCGAAGCATTTGAATTTGAAGCCAAGCTTTAGATCTGCTCAGGAAACCAGTGGTGAAAATGACACCTCTTCCTTAGTCTATCTCCTAATGCAATTGTGCTGTGTACCACTTCTACATATATTTCTACATTTGGTTTGACGAACATTTCTTCATTCGCTGTCACTCGAGTCGCTGCCGCTGCTGTTGCTGCTGCTGCTGCTATTGCTCTCGTAGACGATTTCCTCGCCGTTATCCTCCGTTACCCTCTTGGACAATTCGAGATCCTTGTGGCTCTCTCTGTTTTCCGTCGAGACCTCGTCATCAAAAATGATTTTTTTATTGGACACGACGGGCAGATTCTCGGCCTGAGACCGGTTTTCACCCATCGATTCGTCTTGTAGCAAGGAGCCCTCGAGCGATACCACTTTCCCGGTCGTATAGACGTTTCTCACGGTGAATCTGAGCTTGCCATCCAGTTGCTGCCCATTTTCATCGACCCAGTGGCCAAGCGATCTCGGCTGTTCTGCGTCGCCCTCACTTGCGCCTTCTCCAGACCCATTGATGTCCTCGTTGTGTATAAAAGTCCATTCGGGTGGGATGGTGGTCTTTTTTATGCTGGCATTGAAGGCGTCGTGAATTAGAAGACCAATATGAGATGGGGACTGGATGAAGATCCAACCCTCAATGACGTTGCCCACTTGTGGTTGCCATACAAACAAGTCCACGCTGCACCAGGCAAACCCAAAGGGTGTGTCTGGTGTCACTTTGACCAGCTTATGTCCAGAACTCCCTTCATTATCGGCCTCATCATCATCACTATTGGGACTCGCATCTTTGATATCCAGATTCTGGTATCCCAGCACAACACCGCCCACATCACTACTGTACTTCATTATCATCGGATTCAGATGCTGCCTCTTGATGCCCTTGTTGGGCTCTCCCATATACGTAGGTGCCAGAGAAACATACATCGACACCGGCACTCGAACTATGCATTTTGACGTACCGGTTGATTCATCTAGCGGATTTTTCAAGGCCTTTTTATGTCTTTTTACAAATGCCACATTCCTTTGCTGATTCAAAGACCTTTTGCCCGTTGACATGACGCCGTCCTGAACCAAAAGTTGTTGTTGTAGGTCTTTGATGTTTTTGATGGTATTGAAGCGATGAGATGCGATGCGATGAGCTTAGCATTTAATTTCAGAAAATTTTCTATCATTTTGGGTTTTCCTGTCGTTTTGGAAGAGGTGTTAAGGTTGATGTCAATTTGAGTTGTAATGAAGCTGAGAGACCAGTGAATACGTTTACACAGCAATACTGAGCAGATTTTACGGCATTTTTTTCGCTGGCAAAACTTACAATACGTCTAGCCTACACCAAAGTATAAATTTAATATGATAATCGTTTTCAAGCTGAATTGAAGAAGATTTTAACAAGCTCAAGAAGAGGTTTTTTTTCCAAAACAGTGTAATCGTTCTCTGACTCATCAGGATCCATTGAGGAGTAGTATGCTGGGATTCACTCCCATGTATGTCAAATTCCGTCAATTTTTGGATCACGTGCAACTCTTCTCTCTAATGTACAGCTACAGCTTTAAAAGAAAGTAATACTCGTAATGATCGGTTTTTTTTATACACGAATGGCCCAGCACATCCTACGCACACCATGGGCCACCCAGCCACCCAGTACCATGCTGGCAATCGAATCCTTTCCAGCCCTCTGTCTATTCCTCTAATTAACTAATATTTTCAAATGTTCTTAAAACTCAATATCACTATATTCGACATAATCATAAAAAACTAAACATCTACACATCTCGCGTCTTCAAAATCGACCAATACAGTTTGATAACTATTCAATGATTGTTGATCTTTTCTTTAATCTTGTTCTCAGCTTTTGAACCTTGACCTGATCCTAAAACGCTACTGGCGATACCACCAACAGTTCCAAGATGCAGTTTGTTGCCCGCGTCTGCTCCCAAAACTGACCCGGCAATGGAGCCAACAAGGTTGCCTTTGTCGTGACTTTCAGCGTTTTTATCTGGCATTGTTCGAGTGTGTGCGTTAGGATTTGAAGAGCCTGTTGGTTTGGAGAGAGTAGTGTGAACCTGGTCTTGTCGAGGGGGTGGGGGGGTCTTCCCTTTATATAGTCCATAGTAGTAGATAAAGTTGCTGTGATGTGAGGGTTTCGTAGAAAGCGATGTGAGGACAAATGGCCATCGAAAACATAGAAAGGCGACAGACGGTGCTTGATGAACAATTGCTGTTGTAGTGATGCAGGGTTTTAAAGGACACAGCGACGACAGAATGGGGACTCTTTTTTTCTCGGAAAATAGACTACATTTGTGAAAGTCGTATGGCGCGATATTGCGAGTCACGTGACCGACGTCATTTTTTTAATGGAAAAGTGATTAGATCTACTGTCATGGGTCTTCTTGAAAGTTCAAAATATCGTATAAGCTGCTTAAGTAGATAACGTCTCTTCTAATGTTAAGAAAGTCAATTGTTTTCTTGACGTGTTGAGAGAATCGAGGTGTTTTGGTATTTTTTTTTTTTGGGCTCGAAAAACAAAAAGGTGTATCTGTTGAAACACAATTTCAATCGGCTTGAAACATAGATTGCCCATGCAATCGCTCTTCCCGAAGCCGTATGAACTTCCCAGACTGTTTAAAGACCACATTTCAATGTGATAACCTTACCATAACGTATTTACCACGTGATCGGAATGTCAGTCACACTACACGGATATGTCTCAATTTTCTCAAAGTCGAAGTCACATTGAACGAAGATGATCTCGGCCATAAAATTTTTTTCAAAATAAGATTGAACTCATCTCATCGCATCTCATCTCATCAGTTTAACGCTCCAAACTATATTTCTATCAAAAAAGGCTTGAGGAATCAACCATTTCCGCTCCAATACTGCTTGTGACTGTTTTCAGCTGAAATTGGCGGCGAGTGAGGAGTTCAGCAGCTTTTTCCAGCGCTCTTTTTCGTTGATTTTTCATACTTTTTAACCACATTTGCATCACCGTCATACACAATTCACGACATGGATATTTCGAAACCTGTTGGCTCCGAAATCACGTCGGTTGATTTCGGTGTGATGGCCTCACAAGACATTCGCAATGTCTCTGCTATGCAAATTACGAATCCAACGGTCCTGGACAATCTAGGCCATCCTATATCCGGAGGGTTGTACGATTTGGCATTGGGTGCTTTCTTGCGTAACCTATGTGCCACCTGTGGCTTGGACGAGAAATTTTGTCCGGGCCATCAGGGCCATATCGAATTGCCGGTTCCTTGCTACAATCCGCTATTCTTCAGTCAATTGTACATCTACCTCAGAAGTACTTGTCTGTACTGTCATTCGTTCAGGTTGAAGGCTGGGGAAGTACATCGTTATGCCTGCAAACTCAGACTTTTGCAGTACGGTCTCATCGACGAGTGCTATTTGCTCGATGAGATCCGCGTGGGCACACTTGAAAACGCTGTAGACGAAGCAGAAGAGGGTGAAGAGGGCGACGACGAAAAACCTTCCAAACCTTTGGATGCCAGATTGCTAAAAGAACTAAAGGTGAAACGTAGGGAATTTACTGATCTCTGCATAGCCTCCGCACTTTCGGATGGTCGTACTACTCAGAAGGGCACTTTCACTGCAACTGTCAATGATGAAAGGAAAAAACTAATTCACGATTTCCACAAGAGGCTTTTGTCAAGACCTAAGTGTGACAACTGTGGGATGTTTTCACCCAAATTCAGAAAGGACGGTTTCACCAAAATTTTTGAAACTGCTCTAACGGAAAAACAGCAGACCAACAATAAAGTAAAAGGTCTTATTCGTGCCGACGTAATTAAAAAGCAGCAGCAGCGGCGCAAGCTTGCTGGCGACAAGGACAACAAGGGCGACGATGACATGGATGTTAGCGAGGACTTTGGGTATGGCAGAGACTCCACTGCAAGGCCCAAGACAGGTTCGACTTATATCTTGTCCACCGATGTTCGCAGCATTTTACAAAGCGTATTCAAAAAAGAGCAAGAAGTATTACAATACGTCTTTCACTCAAGGCCCAATCTCGCAAAGAAGCTGGTAAAAGCTGACATGTTTTTCCTAGATGTCGTAATTGTTCCACCCACTCGTTTCCGGTTGCCTTCCAAAATGGGTGAAGAGATTCACGAAAATACCCAGAACCAGCTTTTGTCCAAAATCTTGACTACATCATTGCTGATAAGAGACTTGAATGAAGAAATGTTGAAACTACAGAAGGACAAGGTGTCCGTTGATGATAAAAGAGTCATTTTCAACAGACTCATGAACGCTTTTGTTACCATTCAAAACGACGTGAACGCTTTCATTGACTCTACCAAAGCACAAGGAAACCAGGGCGGGAAAGTTCCTATTCCAGGTGTTAAGCAAGCCTTAGAAAAGAAAGAGGGTCTTTTCAGAAAGCACATGATGGGTAAGCGTGTTAACTACGCGGCGAGATCTGTCATTTCCCCCGATCCCAACATTGAAACTAATGAGATTGGTGTGCCACCTGTCTTCGCTACTAAGTTGACATACCCTGAGCCTGTCACAGCTTACAACATTGCTGAGCTCAGACAAGCCGTGATAAATGGTCCCGACAAGTGGCCCGGCGCTACTCAGATTCAAAATGAGGACGGGTCTTTGGTGTCACTTATCGGGATGACCACCGAACAGCGCAAAGCTCTTGCGAATCAACTTTTAACCCCATCTTCGCATAGCTCCACCCATTCTTTGAACAAGAAGGTCTATCGTCACATTAAGAACCGAGACATCGTCATCATGAACCGTCAACCTACTCTGCACAAAGCTTCTATGATGGGTCACAAGGTTAGAGTTTTGCCTGGTGAAAAGACCTTGCGTTTACATTATGCTAACACAGGTGCTTATAATGCTGACTTCGATGGTGATGAAATGAATATGCACTTTCCTCAAAACGAGAATGCCAGGGCTGAAGCTTTTAACCTTGCTAATACTGACTCTCAATACTTGACTCCTACATCGGGGTCGCCTGTTAGAGGTTTGATTCAAGATCATATCTCAGCTGGTGTATGGTTAACAAGCAAGGACAGTTTCTTCACAAGGGAGGAATACCAGCAGTTCATCTACGGTTGTATTAGACCTGAAGATGGACACGCTACAAGAAATAAACTCGTTACCGTATCTCCGGCTGTTTGGAAGCCTGTTCCGCTCTGGACGGGTAAACAAATCATAACGACAGTACTTCTCAATGTGACGCCTGCTGACATGCCAGGTATCAACTTAAAGTCCAGCAATAAAATCAAAAACGATTACTGGGGTAAAGGCTCCCTTGAGAACGAGGTGCTTTTCAAAGATGGTCAACTCTTGTGTGGTATCTTGGACAAATCTCAGTACGGTGCTTCCAAATATGGTATCGTGCATGCTTTACACGAGGTGTATGGCCCAGACGTGTCAGCGAAGGTCCTTTCCGTGCTAGGAAGACTCTTCACCAATTACATCACGTCGACCGCCTTCACCTGTGGTATGGATGATCTTCGTTTGACGGATGAAGGCAATAAGTGGAGAAGAGATATCCTGAAGACCTCCCATGATGTTGGTCGTGCGGCCGCATCTGAAGTCACTAATCTAGATAACAACGTCAGTGCCAGCGACCCAGAGCTCTTGAAACGTTTGGAAGAAATTTTGAGAGACGACAACAAGTTAGGCATTTTGGATGCTGTGACGTCTTCCAAGGTGAACACTGTTACCTCGCAGGTTGTCTCTAAGTGTATCCCTGACGGTACCATGAAGAAGTTCCCATTGAACTCGATGCAGGCCATGGCCTTATCTGGTGCCAAGGGCTCAAACGTTAATGTGTCTCAGATTATGTGTCTGCTTGGACAGCAAGCTTTGGAAGGTAGAAGAGTACCTGTTATGGTTTCCGGTAAGACCTTGCCTTCTTTCAAGCCGTTTGAAACTGAAGCAATGGCTGGTGGTTACATTAAGGGCCGTTTCTACTCAGGTATCAAGCCTCAGGAATACTATTTCCATTGTATGGCTGGCCGTGAAGGTTTGATTGACACAGCTGTCAAAACTTCAAGATCAGGTTATCTGCAGCGTTGTTTGACCAAGCAATTGGAGGGTGTTCATATTTCATATGACAACTCTGTCAGAGATGCTGACGGAACACTCATTCAATTCTTGTATGGTGGTGATGCTGTTGACGTCACTCAGGAATCGTACATGAACCAGTTCAAGTTCTGTGCTGATAATTACGAGGCTCTATTGAAGAAATACAATCCTTCTGCTTTAATCGAGCATTTGGATGTGGAGAGTGCTTTGAAGTACTCCAAGAAAGCTCTCAAACACAGAAAGAAGAATGCAAATGTCGCTCATTACTCTCAAAAGGTAAAATATGATCCGGTTGTCTCTAAGTACAATCCCTCGAAGTATTTGGGCTCCGTCTCCGAGAACTTCCAGGACAAATTGGAAGGTTTTATTGATTCCAACGAAGAGCTTTTCAAGGGTGGTGACAGTGTTGGTGAGAAGAAGTTCCGCGCTCTCATGCAACTCAAGTACATGCGCTCCTTGATCAACCCAGGTGAGGCTGTCGGTATCATTGCTTCGCAGTCCGTTGGTGAACCTTCGACTCAGATGACTTTGAACACATTTCACTTTGCTGGTCATGGTGCTGCTAATGTGACATTGGGTATTCCACGTATGAGAGAGATCATTATGACAGCTTCTGCTGCAATCAAGACTCCTCAAATGACGTTGCCAATTTTGGACGATGTCACAGATCCTCAGGCCGACACTTTCTGTAAATCCATTACCAAGGTTATGTTATCCGAAGTCGTGGATAAGGTCGAGGTAACTGAATCTACTGGCAGTTCAGAAGGCTCTACGGGCTCACGTTCTTATTTCATCAACATGAAGTTTTACGGCAGTGACGAATACGGCGAAGAGTACGACGTTTCTAAAGACGAGCTGCAAAGTGTCGTGGCTGAAAGATTCTTGAAATCTCTAGAGACCGCTATCGTGAAGGAAATCAAGAAACAGAAGAGGACTGCTCCTTCGGAAATCGGTGTGGCCCTACCAAGAGCCCAAATTGCCATAGCATCTGGGGATGGTGGAAAGATTTCTGATGAGGACAACGACGAGCAGGAATCGCGCCAGAAGACCAAGCAAGCGGTGTCTTACGACGAGCCTGACGATGAAGAGGTCGAGACAATGAGAGAAGCTGAAAAGTCTTCGGACGAGGAGCTAGAGTCCGAGATGGACTCTGACACGTCAGACTCGGAAACCGAGGGTGACGGCGAGACCGCTGCTGCCGCTGAAAAGGTCAAGAACGGTTTAACCAAGTCTCAACGCGACAGACAATCGGCCATCATTTCATCACATCGTTTCGTCACCAAATATAACTTTGACGACGAGGATGGTGAATGGTGTAGATTCAATATCGAGTTGGCTGCAGATACCGAGAAGCTGTTGATGGTCAATATCGTTGAAGACATTTGCCGGAAGTCTGTCATTAGAGAGGTGAAAAGTATTGATCGCTGTGTCCATGTGGAACCAGACAATGGAAAACGCGTGCTAGTGACTGAAGGTGTCAATTTCCAAGAAATGTGGGACATGGACGCCTTCATTGACGTGAATGCCATCACCTCGAATGACGTGGCAGCTGTCTTGAAAACTTACGGAGTGGAAGCTGCGAGAAACACGATTGTGAACGAAATCAACAACGTTTTCTCCAGATACGCGATTTCGGTATCTTTCCGTCACTTGGATCTGATCGCTGATATGATGACCAGACAAGGTACTTACCTGGCCTTTAACAGACAAGGTATGGAGACTTCCACATCTTCTTTGATGAAAATGTCTTACGAGACTACATGTCAGTTCTTGACCAAAGCAGTTTTGGACAGCGAAACCGAGCAACTGGAGAGTCCATCGGCAAGAATTGTCCTCGGTAAACTAAACAATGTTGGAACTGGGTCTTTTGACGTTTTGACCAAGGTTCCCGCGTCGCATTAATACCAACTATGCATAGAATGTTATAAATAAATATCCTGTAAAATAAAAGACATACAAACTTTACTGTTGATCACGAACTCGCATAAACTCTCATGGATCGAGCGTCACTGTTTATATGACTTTTCAGGTTCACAGTGCTGCTTGTTGTCCAAGAATACAAGATGAAAAAGCCATATGGAAACACGATTAATGTTTATAAATGCTGAAAATACTAAAAATACAAGAATCCTGACATCCGTACTGGAGGTGCTGCGGAAAGGTCAATTACTCAATGCCAAAAACAGTCTTCATCTTACGCAATAACAACCAGTCCGATTTGGCCACTTGGTCTCTGAAAGCTGGATCTTTCAAAGTGTCCAAGGATCTTCTAGTAATCAAAGAGTAAAGGGTATCTTTCTCGTCGACATGACGACCCCATATAGGCTGTTGACCCGATGGATCCTCCAAACGCATGGCAACACCGGCGGCCGTTTGACCCTTTTTGACCTCATTATGAGCTTGGTGGTTAATTTCAAGCGACACAACTCTACCTAACAGCAAAATCTGTTTCTCCTTTGTGGCAGGGTCGGTTCTAACAGCACATATCGGCGTTCCGATGCGTACAGCACCTTCAATGACATCAACACCGATAATCATTGGACCACGCTTGTTGATGATCTGTAAGGTGTTGAGCACACAAGGGAAAATGGCATCATGCAGGAAGTCCTTACGGCGCTGTTCCATAAGCTTCTCCTGGTATGCAGTAAACGCATCGAACAGGTGGTAGATAATGTCCGCGTTGAAAATCTTGACACCTTGTTCCTCGGCATAATGCTCGGCTTCTTTGTCAATTTTAACGTCGAAGCATAACATAACGGCATATTCCTTAGCCTTTTCCAGCATGGCACAAGCTTTCATCACATCTCTCTTATAGACGGGGCCCAAGCCGATGGACATGACGGGAATCTTCATGTCTTTCAAAAAGTCTAGCAAGGCCTCTAAGGAACCCAAAGTAGAGGCCTGAACCACCACACCACGGCCAGAAGTATCAACGGAATCAAGAAGGCCGGTCAAGTCGTCCATGACATCATCCATCATCTCTTCCTCATCGTCATCGGGACCAACCACTAGTAGTCTGGAACCAGAAACCGCTTTTTCCAAATCGTTAGCGGCAATTTTGACACCGAGAGCAGCCTTGACTTCTTTGTGATGTACGTATTCAGATTTCAAACGAAGCTCTCGCAGAGGCTGAGGAGTTAGCAAGGCCCTGATGTTGGTTACAATTGGACCGTTCAACCCGCAAAGCACAATTCGATCACCTTCTCTCAAGTACCCGTTAGACAAAATGACATCAATCGTTGTACCGAAACCTTCAACAACCTTGACTTCCAACACCGTGGCTGCAACGTGAGACAAGTACATTAGCTGCTTGGACATTCTCTTTTGAGTCAATTCTAGCAATAGCCATAACAAATCTGGAATACCCTCTCCGGTAACGGCAGAAGTAGGTACAATAGACACGTATTTCGACATGTTCTTGTTTTGGAAGTACAGCTCAGAGTTCAGACCCTGCTCGGCAAGAGCAACTTTGATAGCCTCCAATCTGGTGGCAAACTCCTGCTTGACACCTCTGGTTTGTTTCTGGAAAGTGCTTCTGAAAGCATCGTTAGGGTTACTTTGCCAGTCGTACAATCTGTCGATCTTGTTGAGGGCAACAACGAATGGAGCCTTTCTGTCTCTTAACAATCTAATGGATTCGATTGTTTGTTGCTCTAGACCATGCATGATGTCGATAACCAGAATGGCGATATTGCATAAGGAAGAACCTCTGGAACGCAAGTTAGTGAAAGATTCGTGACCTGGTGTATCGATGACCAGCAAACCGGGAACGTCGAAAGTCTGTTTCTCGAACTGAGCCATCGATTGAGTCTTAGTCTTGACAGCGTCAATGGGGAAGTAGGTGGCACCAATTTGCTGCGTGATACCACCGGCCTCACCACCTTGAACGTTGGTCTGTCTAATCTTATCCAGCAATTTTGTCTTACCGGTATCGACGTGACCCAAAATACAGCAGATTGGCGAACGTAGGTCCTGCTGACCTGCTGGCGCTGGAGATGGAGATGGACGTGTAGGACGTGGTATTTCTTCAATGACTGGTTCTGGTTTAGCTTCTGCCACTTGTGTAGCTTCAGAGGGAGTCTCTTCGACCTTGTCCTCTAATTCTGGGGACTCGGTTTCTTTAGTCTCTTCTGCTTCTTCATTGTCATCATCGATTAGATTCTCCCAGTCGTCAATGAGGGCCTCCTCTTCGTCGCCTTCTGCAGCAGCAGCGGCTTCGGCATTCTTTTGCGCTTCAGCTGCTGCTAGTTCGGCATCTTTTTCCTGTTGTGTCTTCTTCTTCTTTTTCCCGTAAACCACTTTCTTAGGCTTGGCATCGGAATCTTCAGACTTGTCCAAACCGGCAACCTTGATGTTTCCGGCAGCCAGAAGTGCTGCACGTCTTTTTTCCAGCAGTTTTTTCTCTTCTTTCTGTTTCCTGGTCAAGAGTTTACCCTCAGCCTTCAATTTTTCACGTTTGGCCTTTTCCTTCTCACGCTTTTCACGCTTAGACTCTTCATCGGCCTGCTTGAGCTGTTCCTGACGCTCTTCTTCCTCCTTTTCCAAACGTTCTTCTTCCTCACGTTCCAAACGTTCTTGTTCTTCAAACTGTTTTTTCATTTCCAATTGACGTCTAAGAGCCGCAAGACCGGCAGGAACCTTCTTGCCGCCCTTTTTAGCGCCCGCAGAAGCATTACTGGCACCATCGGACGATGCTTCGCCCTCATTACTCTTATTCTGTTTGGCTTTTTTGGCGTCCGCAGCTGACTCTGCTTGCTGTCTGTTAAGCTCTTTGTTTTTCTCCTTTTGAGCTTGTTGTTGTGCCTTTTTCTTAGCAGCTTGCTCCTTCTTCTGCTGCTTTTCTAGTTCCTTCTTCTCTTTTTCCTTCTCCTTTTTCGACTTGATGACTGGTTTCTTGGATTCCTGGTCTTTCTCTCTTGTAGCAGCTTTAGTCTTGGAGCTTTTTAGCGCAGACATGAAATCTTGATCCAGTTCTTCAGCATCTGCTGTAGAAGCGGCGTCTGTGCTCGATTCAACCGCAGGGCTTGCCTCTACTGAGTTTTCAGCGGTCAATTCCTCTGAAACTGGTGCTGGAGAGACATCTTCGCCCAAATCATCGTCCCAGTTACTTTGTTGAGACTTCTTAGATTTCTTCCCCATTTTTTAAGCGATTTTAGCTGCGAAAACGAGCTTTAAAACAATGTTGGACCTGTCTTGTTCAAGAGGTTATTGAACCAAACTGAACAGTGCTCCAAACTGGTTAATTTTGGTGCTAAAGTTGAGGTTTTCTGGGAGTGCAAGTGTCAAGTTAGCTTATGGAATTGATTTTGGAACTTTTTCATGGTAAAATTTTTCAAAATGGACTCGTTCAAGGTGATATGAAATGCTAATAATTTGGTAAAAAGATATGTGGTGTTAGGATGTTGTGTGGGCTTTGTATTGAGAATATTGAACAATGATGACTTTGAGTAGTCAGACTATTGAAAAGCCAGTCATACGGGGGCTTCCGGGTTTCTGAACTAAGCGAATGAAGTGGATTATGGTATTATTGATATGTAAAATTTAATCCAAACTGAAAAACACGAGAGTCACGTGACCCTGAAGTCTTGCTAACAGAGATACCTGAAGACTCAGGATCGGAGGTGTACATTCCCGTAGCATACATTGGTTGTTGTTCTTCCCGCTTAAATGCTTGCAATCATGGGGGGTGTTCAATCCCCTTGGTGTTCATTCCATTAGGATCTGAGCAGAACGATTTTTTTTTCTGTTCGTCTTTTGAAAGCAATACTCTCCCAGGCTGTCTGGACACAGCTTCCACTTCCAAACAGCATCCACTGGTCGATAATGTACCGTCTTGATTGAACTAACTTGACTATATCTTAAAATCTGTCGCTATCATCACATCACGTGCTTTCGATCATTTTACAGTAATTCCGACGCTTTGCCAAGGAAAACAATATGACGAGTTAAACCTTCCTGTCTAGCTTTGGGCAGCTTTACATCGGGTCAGTTTTTAGACATTTTGGACTATTTGTGCCTTCTTTGTTGAGTTTATTCACGTCGGTTCATCCAGCCGATAGGCTTTTTAACTCAAAAGACGTGTTGGTATTAATATGTGACAAGCTTGATACCTAGTCTTAGAGCTCAGATTGACATTCGGAAATTGAAAGTATGTCAAAAACCTTATTCATTCTCAAAAAATTTTAGGTTGAGGGCGAACTGTTGATTTCCCTTGTAAAATAGCTTTAAATTCTATATGCTCCTTTCACACATAGACAATTGTTTGAGGCAAATTCGTCAGATTATGGAAAAAATGATGATTTTTTTGATCCAGAGACTGAAGTTCACTCAAATGGCTTAGGCCATCAATACCAGTTGTGAAAAATCGTGGCAACCCTTGCCCAAGCTGTCCATACAGTTCCTTAGTGACCTTGATCAATTCTGACGCTGTCACTTTATGGTCACGTGACCATAGAACTCAAGAGCTATCTAAAACTATTACGCTGGACAGAGATCAACTGGGATAATAGTAACTTGTCCTTAGGGTCCACTTAAGCCGCTTGACACTAATTTTACCAAGCTCAGATTACTCCTCCGATCACGTTTACAATTAAATCACCTCCATATTAGTGGAAACACCACTATACTCAATTGGAGAAATCTGCCTTCAAAAAAAAAGTTGCGCTTCGATATCCACCAGTATGTAAAGCACTCGAACACCATCGATGCTTCACGCCTTATTTGAAACTTGAACTGATGCAACTTTGCCAGAAGGTCTAAGTCATCTGACTAGATCATCTGCTTTTCACGTGCTCTTGAATTACTGTCAGAATCACATGACTGGTGATTTTTCAAATTGATTTTTAAAATTTTATATGGAAAGACGTACATGTTCAGCAACTTCGACTAAGCTTCTTTCAGGAACAGAGATTTACTTCAACATATTTCATTGGAAAACCCATATTTAAAGGCATTTCATTACCGAGATAGTGCTATAAATCCTTTTAAAGTCGCTTTTCTCTTTCCAACCCTTTTTTCCCCACACAATGTCGACCACTGTAGAGAAAATCAAGGCCATCGAAGATGAGATGGCCCGTACCCAGAAAAACAAGGCAACTTCGTTCCATTTGGGTCAGTTGAAGGCGAAACTGGCGAAACTCAGAAGAGAAATTGTTACCTCTGCCACCCAGGGCGCGGGAGGCGGTGGAGGTGTTGGATTCGACGTTGCAAGAACTGGTGTTGCGTCTGTCGGATTTGTTGGATTCCCATCTGTGGGTAAATCTACTTTGTTGTCGAAATTGACAGGAACTGAGTCCGAGGCTGCCGATTATGAGTTTACCACTTTGGTCACCGTGCCAGGTGTTATCAGATACAAGGGAGCCAAAATTCAAATGCTGGATTTGCCCGGTATCATTGACGGTGCTAAGGACGGTAGAGGTCGTGGTAAACAAGTTATTGCAGTGGCCAGGACCAGCAACTTGCTATTTATCGTGCTGGATGTCAACAAACCATTGCATCACAAACAGGTGATCGAAAAGGAACTCGAAGGTGTGGGTATTCGTCTCAACAAGCAACCACCAGACATTTTGATCAAGAAAAAGGAGAAAGGTGGTATCTCAATCACCAACACGGTTCCGCTCACACACTTGGGACCTGATGAAATTAGAGCCGTGATGAGTGAGTACAGAATCAATAGTGCAGAAATCGCATTCAGATGCGATGCCACCGTTGATGATCTGATCGATGTCCTCGAGGCGCCCACCAGAAGATATATGCCAGCCATCTACGTTTTGAACAAGGTGGATTCTCTTTCGTTGGAAGAGTTGGAGCTATTGTATCGCATTCCCAACGCGGTTCCTATCTCGGCCGGAAGAGAGTGGAACTTGGATGAACTCTTGCAAATTATGTGGGACAGATTGAACCTGGTGCGTGTGTACACCAAACCCAAAGGTGTTATGCCCGATTTCAGTGATCCAGTCGTTTTGAGATCTGACAGATGTACTGTTCGTGACTTCTGTAACCAAATTCACAAATCGTTGGTGGACGAGTTCAGAAACGCCATCGTTTATGGCAGCAGTGTCAAGCATCAACCACAATATGTTGGTTTGAGTCATGTTCTAGAAGATGAAGATGTCGTCACGATTTTGAAAAAGTAAGTGCACACGACACTACCAACATCATCATTTCAGCCGCTTTACAATAAGATGTTGAACCATACCATAATTGCATTCCATTACCATATAAATTGTATAATTACACAGCAGTGAGCCCTTCATTAAAATTCGTCACGAACAGTTGTAAAAGTCGCCAGTTGTATTTGAAAACTTTACCTTGTTCCTCGCCATGCATTACGATCCCGGTGGTCGAGCCGAAATTTTTCTTGCCTTTGGTGTTCCCGATGCGGCTCTGAGGGACTGAAGGCTAGAGAACGACATATTCATAGATTCGTTCTCATCGTCGAAACCATCGTCTTCTTCATCGGATGATGGCAAATTTCGTCTCTTGGTTGCGAGAGATGTGGCATGAGACGAAAGACTAGAGTCGGCAACTGAAACGTTGCAATTGTCCTGAGAGAAATGTTTAGTGCGAAGCTTTTCCGCAAAAAGTGCCAGGTTGGTACCACAAAATGCCTGGTCCAATCCGTTGGGTGCAATAGTGGGTCTCAGGGATCTCAAATATTGCAGGGCTTCCAGAACCGTGGTTTGAGGGTTAGTATTTAGAATATGGGAAATGAGCAATGAGGCCAGCTCGTTTTCGTTGCCGCTGGAGGAGAAAACTAGTACATTGCCGGCATTGGAGAGTCTGAAAATGGTAAGCAGATCATTGAACGTATCAAACAGATCTGTAGTTTGAGCTGTAATTAAATTGCAATCATAGGATGATGCGTTTTTGTAGAGTAGCTGTTCCAATTCTGGCTGCGGTGTTAATCCGCGAGCAGAATTGTAGTTGGTTTCGGTCTGTGCACCCAATTGAGTGGTGAGTAATTTTAGACTTGCTGATTGAGTTTGGACGTATTGAGAAACCAATTCTTGTTCTATAGGGCTATTAGTGACATTGGGATTGAAAAGCGGGTCATAATTGACCATCAAAAATTGATTTGCAGGAAACGATTGACAATATTGTGCTACGCGAGCGGTAGGGATTCCCACTGCAACGAAAAACTTGATATTGTTGGCTTGCAAAAAACTAGCCTGCGATAAAGCATTCAGTGGGCCGAAAAACACGTTATTGGTCAGTTGTTGTGGAATGAGCTGGTTCTTACAGGAGGCTACAGCAAACTGATTTTGGAACGACATGTAGGACCTGTGGTGTTAGTGTTTTAGGCAGATGTCTTGCTTGGTATGGATATTGGCTCTAAGCGCTATAAGTTGTTCATTTTTCTGGAGTACCTGGATTAAAACTTTGACGAAAAATATCCAAATTGCGTCAGTTTGGGACAAAGTGATACAGGCAGAATAGCAGTGCAACAACTGCTGAGAAACGGATCTCATTACGGGTTCCTCTTCAATTTGGGAAACATGTAGTTAATCTCTCCCGTGGATTCCAGACGTCAAGTTTTTTGAATACTGCCATTACCAGGCAAAACGATTTAAAATAAAAAATTGGTGTCAGTGTTTTTACTTGCGATGCCGAAAAACGGCAAGATAGAATCTTTTCATAAAAACCGTGTTTAGAATCACATTCAACAATCCTTGTATCTGGTACTGTCTCTATCTCATGCACTCACCCCTCCTGGTGCAACCGCTGGGCATCGACAGCGCGTTTGTACAATTCGCGATAATTCCCGTCCAATTTTCTTTTCATTACTCTATAAACGTTATACCTATCTTTCGTCATGGTCGTTAACTGTGCGTGTGGTTCCGCGGTCATAAAAGGCTCTGTAACACTTGAGCCCCTGAGGAACCGCAGTTGTGTTAAAAAAAAATGTAAAATCATAAAATGTGCGTAGCATGCATAATGCGGTTTGGTGTGTGTGCAAGCGTGGTAGTGAACGCTTTGTCTATCATAAGTGAGGGGGGTGTGTGTGAAACCGTGACGATAAAACGGTTCAATCTTGGTCCTTTTCCCGGCGTGCACGTTCTAGTTCCCGCTTCAAACGCAGCACTTCCATCTCGTACAACCGCTCGTTGTTTTGCAGGTACAAGATGTAGTCCACGGCTTTTTCCAGAATCATGCTCTTGTTGAGTTTGGGTGTTGTAGCGTCCGTGAGACGCACGGACGCTGCGGAAGCAGGGTCCGAAGCGTAACACGCAGTTTCAGCGCCATAGTTGCACGAAGAAGAAGATGACGACGACGACGACGCGGACGCCGACGACGACGACATAGACAAAGACGACGGACCTGCAGAAACGCCGTTGTTGGCGGTTTTACTGTCGCCAGCGTCGAATGCGGTTTCTTCAGATGCGACCCACGGTATAATCTGCTGCAGCTTGGAGATCTTGGTGTTGATGTTTATGCGGTAGCGTTTTTCGATCTTGTTGTGCGCCTCTTTCTGGTGCGCCGTGAGCCGTTTGCGAGGCGCGCGACGTTTCCGTGCAGCCAGGTTGCCGGAGCTACCGAGCGCGTTGCCTGGGGCCTCTGCGTCGGGGCCAACGGCCTGCTCGAGGTCTGCGAACCCGTCTAGACTTTCCAACGGCAGTTGCTGCAGGCCTGTGTCTTCGCACTTGACTGGGGTCGGCGTTTCGGAGCTCGATTCCCGGCCACTGTTGGCGACTCGTACACCCAGACCTTCTGCATCCGCGGAGGCCACCTGTTCCGGCGCCGGCGCCGGAACTGGAGCCGAAGCCGAAGTCGGAGCCGCTGCCGCTGCCGTATCAAACAACGTGGAAAACTGGTCCAGCGGTGACCCGGCCGAAGAAGTCGCGCTCGACGAATCGGCGTCACGTGTCTCGCCAGCACCGATCACGTTCCACGGCATTTCTACATCCATCATTGTCATCATTCGATCAGCATTACCGTTAACGTTGCCGTTACCGTTACCATTACTGATACCACTTCCACTGCCATTTCCCATATAGCTATCGCTAGACTCCGTTTCTGGGAACAGCCAATCTTCAAACCCCGCTCCATTCGATCTGGGTAGTCCCGCTCCCGAGGCCATAGTCATGGTTCCGGACCCGTCCATGTTGTGAGGAATAGTAGTAAAGCTAGTGTGTGCGTGTGTGTGTATGTGTGTGTGTAAAACTAGGTGGAAGAAAAAATAACTAATCCGATAGAAAAGTCAATCCTCTAATAGTTTCTTTGTATATTTTACTAAACCAGTTAGGTTCAGTTCAGCTTTGCTCACTGCTGGAGCCTTAAACGTTGCTCTACCTAACGGCTGCGGGTTTTCCAAAACCCATCTCTAGCGCTTGCTTCGTCTCTCTTTTATAGAACCTGTACAGTGAATTAGTTTTTCTTTTTCTTCGGTTCTCACTTAATGGTACCACCCACGTAGCCAGATCGCCCGGAGAGAATTTGGTGGGACGCGCCCAGTGGGGGGCGTAGACGGGAGAGTGAAAAAAGCCCAGAAGGAGCTAGAAGGAGCGTAGAGGGAGCGCAGAGGGAGCGTAGCGGGAGCCCAGAGGGAACGTAGAGAGAGCGTAGCGGGAGCGTGGGAAGAGCGTAGAAGGAACGTAGAAGGAGGTCTAGAAGGACTCTAGTGGAAGCGAATGGAAGCGTCGTGGGACCCATCAAAATAACAACATAATAAAATGGCAGCCTAGAAGAACCATGGCATGGCTAATGATAACGATATTGAGCAAAATGGAATAGCTTCATATGGCCCTGATACTAGCTAGACAACCATATTGCAAAAAGATTTGTAGTGTGGGAGTTTGAAGGTGAGAGTTTGAGCAGCAGGGTGTTGCTGTGCGCGACTCTGAGCAGATGAGCAGATGAGCAGATGAGCAGGTTTGGCCACCCCAAAAAAGACATATCTAGGCAAAACTGCACTTACAGAGACACACAGCGGTGCGGTGCGGTGCGGTGTGGTGCGAGAATATTGCACTCACTGGTAAATTCGTAGACGAAATTTCGAGTTTTGGCTAGGAAAGCTACCGATGAAGTTGGGAAAAGAAACGCTCAACAGTGCAAAATTGATGAAAAAAAAAGGGTGCTTGCTCTGCAGATGGGATCCATCGGTTAGGCCAGAGTGGCAGCACGGTTGGACCCAAAAAAATTGGGTTGTGGGATGAGACGCCAGCGTGGTCCAAAATGACTTGGGACCGGCGTTAATATTCGGTTCGTCGTGGTAATCGGTCTTGTTGGTATGGCGATCGTTTGTTCCGTGCTGAGAGAATGTTTTGAGATCAGTTATAGGAGGACCTGTTGGGCCGACAAGAATGTCGCAACCGGCTAATAAATTGTACTGGAAGCCTTGTGGGAGCCATGTGGGAAAGATAGCATTACGATATTGGATGTGATAAGCGTAACAGCAATTGGAACGTGCGTAAAAAAAGGTTTAGGGTAGGGTATATTATTGATTCACGGGCTTATAGCTGCATTGATTTTCGCCCGGCCTTTTGGATCTGATTTTTGGCTTGAACCGTGAGATAGTAGTCTGTTACCGGTTTACGATGTTTAAATTAATGAGAACGTAGAAAACGATGATCAAAAAGTCGTCAAAAGAAGAAAACTTACCGTGACGTTGCCAAGAGCAAGCGGCGAATTATGCAATTGTAATTATGCTAATTTTGTCGATGAGATGCAACATTTTGTAGCTTGAATTGCTGCTTATTGGGTTTCTTAGTTTGTTAAATTGAGTCGTAGATACTTAACGTTTCGTGAAAAGTGATCCACACGTTATTTTTTGTCTAAATTTCGATGATCACCGGTGTGTTTCAACTACATGGCTTAGAGAAGTACAGCATGGCAGTGTCTCATGGTCCTAAAGAAAAATATCACCCCCCGGCAAACGCCTCGTTAACGTGATTCAAAATTCTCACCCAAACTAGGAGATAAATCACTAGGTACGTACTCCCATTTAGAGCTTCCGGGACCCGGGTCCTTACTTATTTCCTCACCACTTCGCGTCTTCTACTCGTTCCTCCACCCCCACTTATCTAATCATTCCTCTAGTCGCCAACTTTCTTATATTAGATCTCTATAAACGAAAACCGCTAATTCCCAAATATAATCTCAGAAACCATTGATTCAATCAATCTTTCACTCAACTACATCCATCTCATCGCCCGCTAATTAAACCCTATCCCACCTTTCTCTCCACGACTTCTCTCTCACCAGCACATGGACCAGGATGCACTAGCAGAACTTCTCTCCGATACCACCGACCCCTCTGACCCTGAACAGTCCCAACAGCAGCAGCAGCAGCAGCCAGAGTCGCCGCTGCACAACTATTCCTTCTTCAGTACGCAAAATGCTCCGGCTCACACCCAACAACAACGTCTGCTTTCATCGCTAGATGATCGCTCTCTCGTGAACCTCGTAAACTCCTACGAAGCACCCTCGGGTCACAAACGCTCGTTGTTAGAGCATGAATCGGATGAGGAAAAAGATTGGGACTCAGACGTTTTTCACGCTGCTAGCCCAAAATCCAATCCGGACTTTGGTACAATTGCGGAAGACGATGAGGACTCAATTGTCACATCGCCTCCCGCTGGTGCTAGTCCAGACGAAAAGTCCGACGAAAAGTCCGACGATGACCAGTCTAGTATGGACTCGCAGCAACTCCCAGCTCCAAACATCAATTTTGGTGACTACGGCCAGTATTTCTCCGATAAAAAGGACCTTCAACAAGATCGCGACTCTTTCATGAAGAACCTGTACCAAAATGCTCTCAATGACGGGAATCCCTTCCCGCCTCTTTTCAAGGACTGCATTATATACATTAACGGTCGCACAGATCCTGACCGCCTGCAACTTCACCAAAAGATTATATTGTATGGAGGCAAGTTCATGCACTTTTTGTCGGGCAAGACTAGTGTTACCCATATCATTGCCAGCAACTTGACCGCTAAGAAACGGGTCGAATTTCAAAAATACAAGGTCGTCACTCCCAGGTGGATAACGGAGTCCATTACACTCAACAAGAGGCTTCCCTGGCAAGATTTCGCCTTGAACACTGGAGATGATGATCAAGGCAAGCTCAAACTTACTAGAACAAAAGCGCAACCAAACCATGAAATCGACCTGCCAGAAAATAACTCTGAAAACACACTTGATTGCAAGCACCCAGACTTTTTACGCAGTTTTTTTGCCAAGTCACGGTTGCATCATCTCTCTATTTGGAAAGCCGATCTGAGGGCGCTTTTCTGCCAGAAGTATTTGGAGCATTCCGATGTCAAAGGTATTGCTGAAAATGAACATGTCGCTATTTTTCACATTGATTTTGACTGCTTTTTTGCAACCGTTTCCGCTCTTAGCGACCCACAATATCGGCTTTACAAAGATCCACTTGCGGTAGCACATGGCACCAACAGTTCCGAAATTGCTAGCTGTAATTACGTGGCGCGCAGTTTTGGTGTTAGAAATGGGATGTGGGTACGATCAGCTCGTAGACTTTGTCCCAAATTAGTGTGCATGCCATATAACTTTGAACAGTATGAGGTCAACTCCAAGTTACTATACCAAATCCTGGCGGAAACGCACTTTTTTGACATGATTTTGCCTGTATCCATCGACGAGGCCATATGTGTGAAGCGAGTAAGTACCTTCTCTGATCCCCATGATGTGCAGAGCCAATGCGAGATGGTCACTAAAAGTATAAGGCAACAAGTTTTTGATGCCACCAACGGTTGTACTGTTAGCATCGGCTGTGGTCCCTCTCTTGTGAGCGCAAGACTTGCATTGAAAGATGCGAAACCTAATGGAGAGCGAGTTATCATGAATTTAACTGACGAAACAGATTTTGATAGTTTTCAGGCTAAATTCCCGCTTGATGATCTGCCGGGTGTAGGTTTTTCTATCGTAGACAAAATACGCCGGCAGTTGTTCCCTGATGCATCAACAACCCCAACTATTGGAGAACTGAAAGCCAAATCGACTTTGAAATTATTGAGCACTATCTTGGGAACTAAAACAGGCCGCAAAATACATTCGTTCTTATCTGCTAGGGATGACGAAGAGAATAGTCGGATTTTACGGGACCCTCTAGACTTTTTCGCGAGGAAGTCGATTTCGGTTGATATCAATTACGCCATAAGGTTTGATAATATCCACGATATTGACGATTTTATTGACAGAGTTTGTGAGCATTTAACATCAAAAATTCATGACCTTGGACTGATGACTCCTCAAGTGACTTTGAAGATCATGCGGCGGTGTGAACATGCGCCAATCGAGCCTGCGAAGTATCTGGGCTCTGGAGAATGCGACACTTTTAGTAAAAGCAGCCGTTTTGGAATACCTACAGATGAGATAGGCCTCATTGCAACAGAAATTAAAAGCTCTTTTAGAATGCTGGCGTGCCCTCCCAAAGATCTGAGGGGTTTAGCAGTTCAGTTAAACAAGCTTGAAAAGAAGACAGCTAGAAACTACCAGAAAAAGCTACCTTTCGGAGATGCTGTTCTCAGTGGTGATTCCAATATTCCTATGCTCAAGCCTGACGCGTTCCATTCAATGCCTCGCAATTTGAAGGAAGACATTCGATCCGAATTCGCTAAACGAAATTTTGAAGTACCGCCTTCACCCTCACGGAATCTTTCCACCTCCGTATCACCGGTAAAAGAGTATTGGGACAGATTCGGTAAGTCAACTAAAGACTGCTATAAACAAGAACTTCCTAGCACTCTAGATGAGGACTTCATGAGGAACTTGCCTATGGAACTTCAACGAGAAATCAAAAGAGACCATGCGATTGTCAAGAAGACTCGAAGTTCGGTCAGAAAAATAGGTGTTTCTAAGGACAATGAGACGGCAAATTCTCGATCGAGTTTGAGGTCCACTCTAGATGAGATTGACCAGTTTCAAAAACTGGAGCACCCTCGCGACATCTATCACTTGATTGGAACTTGGATTGATCAGACGATCACTGTAGGTCCACACGCAGATGATTTAGATTTGTTCGACCGCTACTTGGATAAGTTGGTTTTTAAGCGGAAGACAAATCGAGCACTGCAAATAGCCAGGATTATGTCTTGCCGACTTGAGTATCATGCAGCTTTTACTGGGTCAGAATCAAGAGGTCGCCAAGAATGGGAGGAGTATCTGTTGAGGCGAATGATACCCAGGCTGAACTCTAGCTGCTCGATAAGAGCTCCACAGGTACAATTCGAACTGTAGTTGAGGCAAGCAAGACATCCTCGTTCCAGAAAATCTTTGAGCAATGGGAGAGAGTGCGTTACGAAAATGAACTTCGCTGTATTGTTTCTAGACGTATAAATTTATAAAAGGGTCATTAAATTTAGACGGTCAACACACGCAAAGTGTTAGAGTGACCGACACCAGCGGCGAAACCTTGAATGGTAACAATGTTGTCACCTTCCTTCAAGATACCGAATTCCTTGGCCTTTTCGATACCGAACTTCAAACGTTGGTCAACATCCTTAGTCCAGTCAGATTCAGCACCCTTCTCGTAGACGAATGGGAAGACACCTCTGGACAAGTGAGAGAATCTGGCGGCTCTTGGGTTTCTGGTAACCAAAACGATTGGCACGTTTGGCTTGTACTTGGAGACCAATCTTGGGGTAGAGCCAGTGGTAGACAAGACAATAATAGCCTTGGCCTTTTGCTCGTACACAGAGGAGACGGCGGCGGCGGCAATGGTCTCAGTGGTAGAGGTTGGCTTTGGAGTGCAGTTTCTGATGTCGTCGAAAGTTGGTAGGTATGGAATAGCTTGTTCGGCCATCAAAGCAGTCTCGGCCATCATCTTGACAGCATTGATTGGGTAGTTACCCTTGGCGGTTTCACCAGACAACATGACACAGTCAGCACCGTCCAAGACGGCGTTACCGACGTCAGAGACTTCAGCTCTGGTTGGTCTTGGGTTGTAGGTCATGGATTCCAACATCTGAGTGGCACAGACAACTGGCTTACCGGCAACGTTACACTTGGCGATCAACTTCTTTTGAACGGCAAGCACCTGAGGAGCTGGGATTTCGATACCCAAGTCACCTCTGGCAACCATGACACCGTCAGTGACAGCCAAGATTTCGTCGAAGTTGTTAACACCCTGTTGGTTCTCAATCTTGACGATGATCTTGATGTCCTTACCATCTTCACCTAGAACCTCTCTGATGGTGGTAACATCGTTGGCGGTACGGATGAAAGAAGCGAACACCATGTGGACGCCGTTCTTGACACCGAATCTTAGATCGGCCTTGTCCTTTTCGGACAAAGCTGGCAAGTCGACATCTGTACCTGGCAAGTTAACACCCTTGTGAGAGCAGATCTTACCAGCGTTTAGAGACTTGACCTTTAGGGTCTTGTCGTCAACGACTTGTAGAACTTCGAAAGACAAGACACCGTCGTCAACGTAGATGATACGGCCACTGTCGATGACACGGGTGATGTTCTTGTAGTCGATGTACATGATCTTGTCGTCACTAGCCTTGGCGTACTTGTCGTCGGTAGTGAAGATCATCTCGTGGTTAGGAGGGATTGGGTAGTCAACCTCGTTGGTGGTGGTACCAGTTCTGATTTCTGGACCCTTGGTGTCAAGAGCAATAGCTAGAGGTCTGCCTGGATATAGCTCCTCAGACTTTCTGGCGTTGTCAATGACGGACTGGTGGTAGTCGTAAGAACCGTGGGAGAAGTTCATTCTCACAATGTTTAGACCGGCCTTTCTTAGAGCAACGAGCGACTCTGCGGAGTTGGTCTTTGGACCAATAGTCCCGATGATCGACGTTCTTCTTAGGTTAGAACCAGTGTCGGTTTGAAGGTTAGATAGCCATCCTAGTCTAGATTCCATGATTGGCGGTTGTGTCGGTAATTGAGTGTTACTGGGGCTCCTAAAACTAACAGGGAAGAAGAGGGACAAGAAATCCGGGAAGGACCAGACGATCGGGTGCTATTATTTATACCTGGCGGGAGGTGCAATTCTATCAATCACCCAACGTCAGAGCGCGTGAGACAGGATTAGTCTGGCGAGTGGTGGTGATGAACGAATTTTCAACTATCCATAAAAGCGGAAGCGCACTGCGGAAGCCGTAGCCTTAGGGAAAGAAGAAGAAGCGGACATTGGGAAGCCGGAAGCTTTTGGAAGCTCACCCGAAAAGAAAAAACCCAGAAAAAAAAGAACTCGAACTTTGGTTGGTTTTTTTTCTTTCTCTTCTTTTGCTTGCCTGATTTTTTTCGAATCACTTCAGCACGTGCCGCTACTCGTTTAGAAGGCATTGCATATGGTCACATGGTAACGTATACCAAATTTTGTATCATGATGTACGAGCACAACTGCTCTTGGATCACGTGTACAATGATTCTCTTTTTCGTGTATGGTGATCACAGGTGCGTCTTGAAACCGGTGACCGTAGTTATCGAAAAAACAAAAGCTATTGCAGATCAGCGGTATTCTGGAAGATGCCCAATGGCTTGGTATAAGCCAGGAATCGAGTCTGACATGATCCAGGATTTTCTCGGTTATCTCGGAGACAATTTTCAGCTGTGAAGCAAACAACTCAAGAGTTGAGCGCCGTGCTTGTCGCCTCCTCAGCTATATATATATCGATTAGAGAACATTGATGTATTTGAGCAGTACATGTGGATTTCACTGGCTTTTCCTAACTTGAACCGCTTTTGTTTCACCGCGGTTGTTGTTCATGGAAGGGTTCTTAGCCGCTTTACCCTCCGCTATTTATACACTGAGTCGCGTTTTTGTGTCACAATAAACTGTTGACAAATTAATTAGTTTAGGGGTGTGTCATTTCATACGTGATTAACGCGATGGCTGACCTTTAAAAGATAATGAATACAGTACAGTTTACTGGGAAATACCTATTAGCAATATAGACTGTATGGGTAAATATTGGGTTGTAGGTTGTGATAAAAACAAAAGAAAATGAGATACACTCGTTATGTAAGAAGAGGTGCTCGATAGCGTATCGGTCACGTGACCAGATTTATCAGCACAATTTAATGTTGAAATGAAAGTGCGTCCTCTCTCTCTCTCTCT